AAGAGAGTTGATGTGCTTTCTTTCATTCAACTCTGGATCGGATTTATAGTAGAAGGGGGAGGGATCGTAACCCACCTCCTCAGCACTCCAAATAAACCATGGAGGAATTCCCCAGCCCTAAATGCTTTGTGTTCTCCATCCCTCCATGGGCTCCCTCTGCTGTCCTGAAGGGGTTCTTCCCAATTACAGGAAATTACTTTGTGTACACTTTGAAGATAACGTTTCCGTTATGAACTACCAGTGACTGATTGCATATTAAAATAACTGCCGATGTTTTTATAAGCTTGGGCAGATCAGGTTTTTTCCCAGAAATGCTGAATCTACAAGAAGCAGCTAAAATCATGGAGGTAGAGGCTGTGGTGATTTATGTAACTGATTTATTTTAAAGGGTTTTAATTACTTTTTATAAGTTAATTTATCCATTTGAATATATTTGATTAATTTATGCTAATGTATAATTAAATGATTTGCATATGTAATTAAAATGATAAAAGTATCGTATTATGTTTTTTTGTTTTATAATGCTGCTTTCCACTTACTTTGAGTCAACAAATCTGTCATCTTTCAGGACGCTCGCACAGATGCTTGCTCAGGTTTTTAACAATAGTCTGAGGATGATGTAAGCCAGTGTTTAAGAGTGGATATGGCTGGATGTAACTTTTTATCACCATGTCAACAGGGTTCAAAAATCCCATTCTCTCCACTGAACTTTACCACATCGCAGATGTTCTTGCACCGATTAAAATGTCTAACACTGTAATTGAAAAGAAAAGAAACATATGAGATTTTGGCTTTTTAATTGGTGTTGAAAATCTAAAAAAAAAAAAAATTTTACTTAAATGATATTAATATTATTAATACTTTTACGAAATAAACAAAATTATTAAATTACATGTTATCTTAATGATGTATAAATATATAAAATATGGTAATATAATTGACATTTAAACAAGCTGTTAAATAAAAAGTGCTATTAAATATTAAGCTTTTGATACAAAATACTAATACACTATGAATATTAATTCCAAATAAAATATATTAATATAACTACTTTTTAAACATGCTGTTTAATAAAAAGCACTATTAAATAAAATATTAAGCATTTTATATAACTATTAATGCCCTTTATGTACATTAATTCAAAATTAAACATTAATAATATATAATTGACATTTTAAACAGGCTATTAAAATAAAATGCACTATTAAATATTAAGCATTTTACATAATTGTATATGCTTTATGTATATTCATTCAAAATAATATATAGTAATTGCCATTTAAAACATGTTAAATAAAATACAGTTAAATAAACTAAGCATTTTATATAATAATATTATTACATTATGAATATTAATTCCAAATAAAATCTATGAATATAATTGACCATTTAAACAAACTTATAAAAATGCACTTTTTAAAAAATTAAGCATTTTAAATATTATTTTCTTTAAGAATATGAATTCAAAGTATGAATACAATTGACATTAAACATAAAATGCACTATTAAATAAAATAAGCATTTATATATTATTAATACACTTTATGAATGTTAATACAAAATAGTATATTACTATATTTGACATTTTAGACATGTTAAATAAAATGCACGGCTAAACAAACAAGCATTTTATAATATTAATACAGTATAAATATTCATTCAAATTAAAATAATGTTTTAAACGCTTTAAAATAACTGTTAAATAAAATAATTTTATATAAAAGCAATATTAAATCATAATATTAATTTTATATAAAAATTATTTAAAAAATTAAATAAAGATGAGAAACAACGCAAGTTGAGATTTTTCTGATTTATTTGAACATTCATAAACACTTCTCATTTAAAAAGTGGCAGTGAAGCCTTCACAGTTGTGCAAAAGACACTTCACACTTCAACTTCCACAAAAACAATGTTACAAAATCTTTACAAAACACTGTAAAACACATGCAGCTCATCGTGACTGAAAAATCACCAGCAGATTGTAGAAGCATCTTGGACAGACATGAGCGAAATTTGGCCACAGTACTAGTCGTAAGCTTTCGCAGGTCTAGCTCAGTTCATCTCACCCAGAAATGCCCTGCGGCTGTTTTGTCTGGGGAAGATGTGAGAAATAGTACTGATGGTGATGGGCTCGACTCCAACCGTGGATCCCCGCAAGAAGTCTCCTCTCATCACAGACCTGAAGGACTTCCGAAACTCCTCATTCTTCCAAGTGTACAGAAAGGGATTGGACACGAATATAGTGCAGAACACAATCCACGTTGACGTCCAAAGCACCACGGACACCGGGGCAAAGAGTCCCGCGACGAGAACCCAAAAAATCGGCTCGGTCGTAAGAATAAAAATAAAGCACACTGCGAGAACGTAAAAGCCGAGTCGCTTGTCCTTTCTGGGGAACGAATAAGGAAGGTTGTTCGCGATTTGGAAATTCAAAATACTGACTCTTTTCACACTTATTTGCACTCGGCGGAAGATTTTAAAGTAGCAGTACACCACAACCAAAGTCTGTCCGATGATAGTAAACGCAAGTGTACCAGTAGCAAACCGACTGGACAAAACAGACACCGATGTTCCCTTCGCGAACGAAGCATCTTCAGCATCCCGACACCTTTCGGGCGGATACCGAAAGGACGTGATCCACGGGAACAAGGAGCCCAAGGAGATCAACCACGATCCTGCGATCATCCATTCAGTGTTTCTCTTCTGATACAGGCTTTGATACACAGCAGGGGTTTTGGTGATCAAAACATACCTGTTGACCGCAATAAGCGAGTGGGAGAGCAGCGACACGGTGATTCCCAGAAACAGCAGCGCTTCTTTGAACGCCTGGTAACCGATCACCAAAAAAGTCCCAGTGGAGGTGGCCACTGCTTCGTGGGGCATCCAGAAAGCACAAACCAGCAGATCCGCCACGCAGCCGTTCACGATAAACGCATTACTGGCTGTGCGAAGCTTCTTGAACGTCACCACCAAATAGATCACCAGGAGGTTGAGGACGGTTCCCAGAACGCACATGAAGGAGTAGACGGTGGCGAGGGAGATGCGCGAGCCGCGTCCCAGAGCGCACGCCGACAGCGGCACGTCTGTGTCGTTTGGCATGATGGGAGATCTCATCTCATCTCACATTGTGAGAGGAACGTGTGCGTGAGAGAGCGCAGCTCCCTTTGGTGATGCTGCGGTGGAGAATCAAGGTTTATATGTGTGTGTGAGTACGAGAGGCGTGAGATCAACAGGAGCCCACGCTGCATTCTCACGTGTCGTTCATTATTCCCAGGGTGCACAATCACCATGAAGGCAAGTAATTATTCATAATGGATTGAGCCTGTGATAATCAATAGAGCGTCTTTTAATGGACTCCCCATTGAGAACCTTTAGGAACACGAGGAAGGGAGTTGCATGTATTCTGAGTCAATTGAGTCAAGAGCTTAATATTAGTTTGCTATGATTGTGGACATTCTGGCACCATTTACTCATCTTCATGTGGTTTCAAATTTGTAGGACTTTCATTCTTCTTTGGGACTCGAAAAGGAGATGTTTTGCAGGATGTTCACACTGCTCTGTTTCATACAATGAAAGTGAATGAGGAATGGAGATGTACACCCACTCTGATTTATAATTGCTTTTGAAGAACCAGAGCAAAAAGACGATGTATGGTTTTAGTTCATTAAAAATAATTGGGTCGTTCATTGGCGATTTAGACTACACACTGACGTGATTTATTCGTCAGGAATCGGACTACGCTGACTGCGTTGTATGTTTCCGATTTACTAACAAAAACAGGCTCATAAGAGTCATTCACTGGAAAATCCGACTACCACTGATGCGATTCATTCATCAGGAATCGGACTACACTGACCGTGTTGCATGTTTCTGATTCACTAAACAGAACTGGCTCATAAATCTCATTCAATCGAGAATCAGTCATATGATTCATTCAGTGGGAATCGAAAAAGAAATTCACTAAAACACGATTCACTCGTCATACGATTTAATTGTAGGCAATAGTACTGCCTCATAGGAGTCATTTGTGCATTCGAGAACTAGACGACACTGATTATGCTGTATGTTTTTGATTCACTAAAAAAACACTGTTTCATAAATTGTGTGTTCAAGAATCAGACAACACTGATTATGCTCTCTGTTTTTCATTCACTAAAAAGAACAGTCTAATAAGAGTCATATTTTTAGGTTAAAGGGATAGTTCACCCAAAAATGAAAAATTAATTCAGTCATTAATTACTCACCCTCATGTCGTACCAAACCCGTAAGACCTCCGTTCATCTTCAGAACACAAATTAAGATATTTTTGATGAAATCCGAGAGCTCTCTAAACCTCCCATAGACAGCAAGGTAACTACCACAGTCAAGGACATCGGTAAAATAGTCCATGTGACATCAGGGGTTCAACCGTAATTTTACGAAGCTACGAGAATACTTTTTGTGCACAAAGAAAACAAAAACAACTTTATTCAACAATTATTCTCCTCCTAATCCTGTAGCGCGCCGCCATTATAGAGAGAGTATAATGACGCATGCACTTGCTTCCGCTTCATGTAAACAACGCATGTGCGTGTTCAACGTAAGCAGCGGCACCATGTCACATGGACTATTTTACCAATGTCCTTGCTATGTTTCTAGACCTTGATCGTGGTAGTAACCTTACTGTCTGGAGGTCTTACTGGAGGTTCCAGAGAGCTCTCGGATTTTATAAAAAATATCTTAATTAGTGTTCCGAAGATGAACGAATGTCTTACGGGTTTGGAACGACATGAGGGTGAGTAATTAATGACAGAATTTTCATTTTTGGGTGAACTAACCCTTTAATTTTTTGTGGAAACCATGATACTTTTTTATGAATCTTTAAAGAATGGAAGTTTCAAAAGTACAAAATTTAGTTGAAACTGAATTCTTTTATAACATTCTAAATGTCTTTATGTTATAGAGAGAGAGCTCCAGTGCTAAGAAGATAAGGAATATACTGAAGAACATACTGTAAAGTGACTTGAGGAAGCTTGAGTCCAGTACATTGATCAGTAAGGCTTTGACCACCACCTGAAAGTGGGTGAGCTGAGATCCTGTGATAACTGTAATGGGAAGGGAAACATGAGATTTTCAAATGAACTTGAAATGTTACAGGCACATGCACATATTGGGATTCCAAATATGAAAATCAATATAAAAATCACGTGGTCTTACACTGGCGTGGAAGGTGAGAGAGAAAGGCCTTGTCTTTGGCCTCCCCCTCTTCCTCCTGATCTTCGTCCTTTTTCTGTTCCTCTTCCTCCACAACAAAATCCTTCAGACTGTCACTACTATCAGCAAGTTTTTCCTCCTCGCTACTGTTTAGAGGACTGCCCTTCTCTTCTACACTAGATTCATCATCTGCTTTACTTTGCTCTTCAACTTTGTCCTCCTTGATCTCCTCTCTTTCCTCTTCTTCTGAACCCTGTAGAAAACAACAAATAGACATGGTATCCCGTTATTAACCAATCTCTTTTCAGGGAACCCTTTGTTTCTGTCACTTGTAACGCAATTTTGTTCCACCTTAAAGCTGAAACTGCTCAAGAGTGAAAATTGTAAATGGTTGAAACGTTTTCATTTGTCTTAAAAATCTACTCATATGAATTAAAAGTCACATGAATTAGGTAATTGGTTTCATAGAATAAAACAAAATACATTTGAGGTTTTCCTGAACCATGCGTCACAGAAACAATTGTTTCATATCCATGAATTCCTCAGCCCTAGAAATTCCCCATTCATTCTACAAGGACAGTCTTTATCAATCTTTATCAAATTGGAAATGCAGACATGTAGTCTGCCTTGTCAAGCTGAAATCAGAGTTGATTATTGAAATTTAAATTGCATGCAACATCTCTGACCTTATAAAAAAGTGGGTTTATGAGGACAACTGCATCTTTTAAAACAATGGTCACCATCAACCAGTCAGATTTCTGTGGCAAAAGTATAAAGTTAACAATGTCCGATTGTCACAATACTTGTTTGACATGTTTTTCTCTCAGTCACAGAAGACGGGACAAATAAATTAAATACTTTACAGTCAATAAATATCAAAAACATGATTAACTTTGGTCAACATGGCAACCTCATAAATAAATCATTACTAATTTATTTTCAATTAAATATATTATGCACAAAATTACCAAATTTCAGCCCTGTGATGAACTGGACATCCCTTCAGGGTGTCCCCCTTCTGTGGCCCAAGATTCTGGGATGGAAAATGGATGGATGGATGACCAATTTTCCCAAAACTTGGCATACGTTTATAAATCATGCACCTGAAGTAACATGTTAAGTTTGATCAAATGTTTGCACTGTAAGATGGAAACATGGAAATAGTAACAGCATCATGGCAAATGCAAATACTTGATTAAAACATATGCAAACACAAGTGTTTTACTAAGGACTAAAGAGGTTACCCTCATGTCGTACCAAACCCGTAAGACCTCCGTTCATCTTCAGAACACAAATTAAGATATTTTTGATGAAATCCGAGAGCTCTCTAAACCTCCCATAGACAGCAAGGTAACTACCACAGTCAAGGACATCGGTAAAATAGTCCATGTGACATCAGGGGTTCAACCGTAATTTTACGAAGCTACGAGAATACTTTTTGTGCACAAAGAAAACAAAAACAACTTTATTCAACAATTATTCTCCTCCTAATCCTGTAGCGCGCCGCCATTATAGAGAGAGTATAATGACGCATGCACTTGCTTCCGCTTCATGTAAACAACGCATGTGCGTGTTCAACGTAAGCAGCGGCACCATGTCACATGGACTATTTTACCAATGTCCTTGCTATGTTTCTAGACCTTGATCGTGGTAGTAACCTTACTGTCTGGAGGTCTTACTGGAGGTTCCAGAGAGCTCTCGGATTTTATAAAAAATATCTTAATTAGTGTTCCGAAGATGAACGAATGTCTTACGGGTTTGGAACGACATGAGGGTGAGTAATTAATGAAAAAAAAAATTCATTTTTGGGTGAACTGTCCGTTTAAGAAAACACTGATAGTGTTGCATGTTTTTGATTCACTAAAAAGAACTGGCTCATAGACGCCAAGGATTCGTTCAGAAATCGTGCAAACACTGGCTATTTTAATTGACTAAAAAAAATCTGCACACGAGTCATTGATTTAGCAATCGGACAAACAATGGTCGCGCTGTATGTGATTCATTAAAAAAAACAGACTCAATAGTCATCTGTTTGTTCGGGAATCGGACTAAACTGATAGCGTTGTGTTTTTCATTCAATAAAAGAACCGACTCAGAGTCATTCATTTGTACAGGAATCAAACCTTTTTAATCTGTCCTTAAAAAGGAGCAGCGTGAGTATTTTCTTCATCCGTTTCTCAAGTCCTCAAATCAAGTATAGGTTAGAAAGAACAACTGTGACAGTTTTGACATGTCAAGCTGCTTTTCCAGAACCATTTCAAAGATACTTGAGCACTATTATTATAACGAGTGCAGCAGCAGCCTTGAAACCTGCTATTTGCTTCGAGTTGATCATTGAGTTTAATGTGTATTCAAAGACAGACATTATACTATGATAAGCTGAATGAAAGGGCTCGGGAAAACACGAAGCCACGGTTTCAATTAAATATAATGTTACATCTACGACCGCTATAATGTTCAAGTACTGAAAACAAAAACTGAACTGTCTATTAAGATTGAGTGAGTTCTTAGTAGAACATTTTGGGCCAACAAAACCGTTTTCTAAAAGTGGGCAGAAGAGAAAATTCACGACACAGATACAAGCATCAAATTGTGTAGAAAGTAAAGCGACATTTTGAAATACTTACCGAATTCATGGCTGTGAACAGTCAGTCGACTAGCAGCCATTTTCACAGCTGTCTCCAAACGCCCACGGCCCGACGCCTGCTGCCAGATAGACTCAAAATGAGGCTTTAGTTCACAAATGTGTGGCTATTTTGCAGTTCACACTTTGTTGGTTGTCAGGGAGAGAGAATCGTTGGCACTTAATTTACTTCTTTGGAGCGGTTAAAAGCGGTATTTTTGTCACAGAATAACAATCTGCACAGCACTGCAGAAGACTAATTGGAAATATGCACTTGAGAGAAATTATGAAAGAAAACGAACAAGCTAAAGCAAAATTAGTCTTTTATTTTGTTCTGGTCTTTGAAATCGTGTTTACATTGTAAAAGAATAATGTACAACCCACTACTTTGTATTTTAATGTCCATTCAGTATGTTTGTGAAAAGCAAACACTGCTCTAACATCGTTAGATTTTCTTTACACACTGCTCCAAAAATATATATTTTTATAAGCAAGAGAGTAGTTTACATCATGTATATGTCAAAGAGGTAGAATACTTCAATCAAATAAGATTCTCCCAAAACATATATATACACATATAATTCATAACACCATCTGGAATGTACAGAGTGCTACAGGACTAACAGATACAGAACAGTCAATCAAGTTATAATTGCATAAACTTGTACTGGAGTATTAGTTCAAAAAGAAACTCATAGGTTAGTTTAACCCCAAAATGAAAATTGTCATAATTTACTCAACCTGTATGATTGACTTTCCTCTGTGGAACACAAAAGATGATATTCAGAACAATGTTCATGCTGCTCTTTTTCATTCAATAAAATTAAGGCTGCTGAGGTCCAAACTTGCACCATATAAGTACTTTCTGCTGTTTTGAGAAGAAATGCGATACCGAAGTTTACCAAATGTGTATGATAGCTTTGCGTGACAAACCAAACGAAAAGTACATTGCAATTTGCAGTAAGCTTCCCCTCTGCTGTAGATCTACGATTTCATTTAAATTGTTTTTATGACAATTTGCGCCAGATTTGACATGATCGTAAACATATTTTTTTCTTGCACATCTTGACATTGACATCAAATCTGGAGCAACATGTTTTGATGGGATACATTTTTTTAATGAAATTTGAGTTTTTTTTTTTAATTCTGTAGAATTATAATTAAAGACATCTTATCACAGAATTGACAACTTGCCGTACTTTTATGGTGCTTTCATTATTAAGCTCAACAATCCCAGTCCTTAAACAGAGCTCAGTGAATCGCACAAAATCTTGTTTTGTTTCACAGAAGAAATAAGGTCAAGTATGTTATGACATGAGGCTGACTGACTGCGTTAAATTTTTATGTGAAGTAAAAAATCGAAAGGTTTTAGCTTAAAACCTGCTGGTCACCTTTAAGAACACTGTAATAAGCGTCATATAATTGTACGATAATTGCGCTCGATTGTAAACATCCTAAAATAACCAAATGTGAGACAAACACTGGAACAACCTTTTTCGGATTAGTTTGTACACTCATTATGTGCACTAACAAAGGGTTTTGTTATGCATTATCATCGAATACACAAAAGCTCATCTACTGTAATAGAGTTTGCGATTATGTTTATATTCGTTTTCATTATTGTATATTTTAAGCAGTTTGAGCTACTTTATGTAAAAAAAACGGTGCATGTTAAAACCAGCAGCCAAAAGCTTGTAACTCATTCGTACATTCTGAGATGTTATATATCAGATGTGCTGGTGAAATGAACACTCCTAAAAAGTGAAGTGTCGACGGTTGTGTTTTCAACAGCCCTTGATGCTCTTGAAACGCGTGCGAGCTCAGATCTGTATTAGTTTAATAATAATGCACATTACGATGTCACAATGGCTGGGAAAAAAGAAAAGCAGTCCACCCTGTTATACTCATACTGAACAAACAAAGCTCTTCATTTTCCCGAGATAAATAGGTTTGCTTGCAAATTGGTCGTGTTCTCATTAGCTGTCCACCGTTTGCGTGGAGACAAACCAACTTTAAACCCCAAATGAAGAAAACACACTTTTTATGGCTTTCGCGGGCTTAAAATCCCTTTGAAGATGACACGTTGCTGTCAAACCATTTTGCACCTTTCAAATATAGCCCTCGCACTTGATATGTTACTCAGTAAGTACACTCGGGATACAAAAACGTGATTATTTACGTCAGAACAAATTCCCTAATCCAAAGATACATAAATATCAACAAACCTTGTCGTCGAGCATTAAGAATTGTAGATAAAATAGGACAAAAATAGTACAAAATTCATTACCTAAAAATATTTAACTATGCATATTCATACATGGAGAGTATCTCTTTAAAAAGAAAAAAAAAGAAAAGAAATTTTGAAAGGCCGGCCAAAGCAAGTTCGTGTCATTTAACAGCATGCAGCAGATTCCAGATCAGCCCTGTCGTAGCAGGACGTATCATACCATGAGGCTGACAGTTCAGTCTCAAAGCATTTCCTTTCAGCTTCGTTCCTCTTTTACGATAAGTAGTCAGCAAATCGGTGGTTACAGTGAAGGTGTCACGGGTCAGAACCAGGCCAGCAGCACAGGACGGGGGTTAGCGGAAGGTGGCGGCTTTAGTACTGAACATACTCAGACTGAAGGGACTGCAAAAGAGGGGGAAAAACATAAGATGAAATGATTACGATGCTGAACGTAATTACAGAAAATTACATGGCAGAGGGTAGTTAAATAATAGTCTAAAAAGCCAACCTGAGACATTACGATCACAGCCCTCGCTGATGTAAATGAGGGTGAGATGAGAATAAAAAGTCAAAGCTTAGAGAGGAAATAAATTTGCATTAAATGTGTGTGAATTTGTGCAGAAAAAAGCCACTTAGGTTAGAAGACACAGGTGTACAACATGCATAGATGAATGCCAATTATTTATAATTATGCTACAGCAGGGGGAACGAAAAAATAATGTGTACAGCAGACAAACGGGAAGCAACAGAAAGCATTTTGTTCTATTTTGTGTCGTCAGTTTACAAACTTTTGATCCATACTTGATACATATACAAGGTTCGCATACTTTGCGTTGTTTGAACATGCAATAAGAATATCTTGACGAATATGTCAATTCCACTTGATTGTAAACATCCGAAAAACAGAAGATTTTTTTTAATGAAAAATGTACAAAAATTACTGAATTTAAGTACAACCTTCGCTAAATCAGCCTTTTCACATTAGTTCGTACATTATGATCGCTAACATAAAAGGTTTTGTTATTAACGTCATTGCCTACCCAAAGCAAAAGACAAACAAAGCAACAGAAAGCATCGTTTTATTTTGTAGTCCGTTTACAAACATTTGATCAACGTTTTAGTAACAGCAAATTTGCATTCATTCAAAATCGTAAACTTTTCGCATACAGCTACTTAACATAGTTCGAACTTCTGATAGGAATATTTTCCTGAATGTTTGAATTTGTACTTGATTGTAAAGATCTTGAAAATGGACGCTTTTACAGTAAGAAATCTGTAAACAAAACCAATTTTGAGTAGAAGCAACCCTCAAAAAATCTACTTTTTTCGGATTAGTTCGTACATTCTTTGAGGGCTAACATAAATTATTACATCGCCTACACATAAAGCACCAGAAAAATGGCTTAGTTGTTAACATTCTAAAAACTGATGACTTTACAATGAAAATCGGGTCAAAAATAACCCAATTTGACTAGACAACTCTCACTAAAGCATCATTTTCAGATTAGCTCGTACATTCATCTCATCAATCACCAAACAAACAAAACAACAGAAATCATTGTTTTTTACGTTGTCCATTTACAAACATTTGAACAACGTTCTAATAACAATCACATTCATTCAAAATCGTAAAATGCTGCGCATACAGCTACTTAACGTTGTTTGAACTTCAGATAGGAATATCTTGATGAATGTGTACATTTCAGCTAACATTCTAAAATTTGATGATTTTGCAATAAACCAGTACAAAAATAACTGAATTTGAGTAAGCAACTCCCGCTAAAGCAACCTTTTCGGATTAGTTTGTAAATTCATTATGAGCACTAACATAAAGGGTTTTGTTATTCATATCATCGCCTACACATAAAACACCTAACAAACAAAGCAACAGAAAGCACTGTTTTTTGCGTTGTCTACTTACAAACTTTGATCAACATTCTAACAACACAAAATCCAATTAATTCAAAATTGTAAAACGTTGCGCATACGGCTACTTAACGCAGTTTGAACATCCGATTGGAATATCTAAGCAAACGTGCAAGAATTTCACAGGAAGCCCCACAAAAGTTCACAAGTTCTACACGATCTACGGATGTTCGTTTAGTAAATATCATTTAATTTATTAAACTAATTTTATTAGGCTTTCAGCTACCTGAGAATATAGTTCAAGCCACTCCATTTAAAATATTATACCACATTTAAAATCATTCCATAGAATTCCAAAGTGCAGAACATTCTAAAAAAAGTGTTAATTTTTAATGAGAGTTGCGTTTAAAGTCCAACAGCATGATAATGCTGTGAAATGAGAAACTTTATGCTAATTTATGCTATTTTTAGCAGCAAGAAAACTGATGACATCTTAACTGTACTGACAGTAAAGGCGGCTGCAAACGCACTCAGCTGAACGCCCTTTGAGGATGAACGTTTAACAGAGCGCAGTGCTGCTGTCAGAGCAAGATGGAAAGTGATATTCATCATCACTGCAGCGCAACTTTGAGTCACTCATGCTACATGTGTAGGCGTTGTGATGTTCTGAACAAAGACAGCACACTACACTCCAGAACAGGGAAGATATGAGCCAATCGTCAATCACATAAACAGGAGAAAGTCTAGAAAGCCTAGAGAGTTGTGAAATCACATGATTAACATGTACAGTGACATATGCATAAAAAAAAACCTTACTCACAATGGACAAAAGGCACCAACAGGAAATTGTAAGGGGAACTACCAAACTCCTTCCAACAGGACAACTTACAAGACATCTGGAGATGGTCCAAGAACAACAGACCACTAAAATAAAGCTCACTACCTTTCCGTCCTGATTCACAGGAAACACATGGAGGAATTTAACGTTTTTGGACATGGAATAACAAACACAAATGTTGAAGCGAATGGCAAGAAAACGTTTGGTTTCTGGTATCAGTTTAACCAAAATACGAATTGAGGTTTCAAGGCGAAGATGACAGGAAGTACAGAACTACTTGAAGCGAGGGACCATTTGTCTGATGGATTCAAACAAATACTGAATATTGTAGCGTACACCACTCCCTTTGCATCAAACAGCAGCATTGAGGTGCCATTAGTACTTGTTAGTAACTATGTTACTGCCAAACCAGACTAAAGCTGTAAGCCTGCCTCTGTATTCCACTATATTATCCCTGCTCTGGCTTTTTAATATTTGTTTATTTAGTATTAAAGGGGTCATATGATGCAATTTCATTTTTTCCTTTCTCTTTGGAGTGTTACAAGCTCTTGGTGCATAAAGAAGATCTGTAAAGTTGCAAAGACTAAAGTCTCAAATTAGTCACATCCTGACCACTCGATTAAAGCTCACTCGACCATGGTAATTAGGTAAATATTAGATCATCTGAGTGAGAGCTTTATGAGAACACACTAGAGACAGATGCTACACAGAGTGAAATGTGACGGCCGTAGAAGTGAGGGACGTGCACGTGAGTGTGTAATTGCTAAAAATTGAGGACATGCAACATGCTCAAGATAAGCGTTTAAAAGAATCTGTTAGGAAAATCTGAACAAAAAAGACAAGATTGCAAATAAGCATGTGTTAGATCAGGGTGAGGTAGGAAGAAGTTTGAAAAAAAAAAGTTTCTCATAGAAAAATGTATCACGGTAACCACAGTTTCCACTAAAACACCACCGATATGACTGTAAAGCCTAATAAGTAAGGAATCTTGTTTGAGCAGTTCAAGATGACTCCAGAATTAGAAATATAGTCATGTGTTTGCAATTGATTTCCAAAATCTGACTTGTGAACAATTGATATTTATTAATAATATTAATCAAGATTTATTCATTATAAAAAACATAAGTTAAAATAATTATGTATTTAAAAAATAAAAATTACATTACATTGAAAATTATTTTTATTTTCATATTTTTCAAGAAATATTTGGTGAATAAGTGTTCATTTTATTCGATTTAATTTCACAGTAATTTTATGCACATCTCATTATTCATTATTAACATAATATATAATGGATAAAATGTAATGACAAAAAATGAGAAATCTAATTCATTCATTAATTCATTATATATAGTTATTTTTTTAACCTAATCAAAATAACCCAACTGCAGTTTGATTGAGATTAATTGGAATGCACAATGAAAAAACATGATTTCTGAGAATTGTTAAAAATGGAGTTATCTGTTTTTGCAAATTAACTCTTCATATATAGATATAGATATATAGATAGGGTTCGTAAATCAAGCATTAACTTAAATACATTTTATTAATTAAATTATACATAATTGTAAATATAAATTATTACATTAAACTTTTTTTTATTCATTAAATTCAAAATTTTGAAATGTGCAGTATGAAGTCATATAACCATGTTTGTTTTGTCTTTTCAAAACTCTGACTTGAGAACTTATTACATGAATATTATAACAAATTTAATCAATTAAAATAAAATGCTTAAATATGTATTTAAAATTATATTCACTTTATTATTATACAATTAATCAAATTACAATTCTAAACATTTAATATTTTCATTTCAGTAATATCTTCAATTTTAATTTTAAGATTTTTCAGTAAATATTTTGTGATTAAGTAAACGGTGTTAATTTTAGTTAATTTCAGTAATGGTATGCATGTCATCTTCTCATTAAATTACAAAATATATAATGGATATAATTTAATGACAGAAAAATAGATATGTATCTAAAACATATTATAAAAAAATGATCAAATAGTAAATATTTGATTAAATATCAAATATTAACTTTAAAAAGTAATTTTAATTGATTCAATTATACATACAGTATAAAAGTGTTATTACATTAAATTATAAATATACTTTTTATAAACTGAATAAAAATTTTAAATAAAAATAAAAATGTATATTTATTTAAATATAAATTTAATTTAAAAAAATAAAATCAGCATACATATATTCACCATTCTCCACTAGTCATCCTCTTTTATTAAGCCACATTGGTTGACATATTGGTAACTATGGCATTTTGGCAGAAACCGACAGCTACCATGGTAAATTTTCTGAAATGCTGCTGCTGGGTGTGTGTTTATCTCGGGAGGTTTGATGGGAGGAGACATGACTTACAGGAATGGACCGGCTGAGGTATCGAGCCGAGAGCCCGCTCAGCCCCGTCGGGGGGCTTCTGTGGTGCCCCTGTTCAATGGCCCCCAGCCTTCCATTGGTGGAAGGTCCACTCGGGCTGGTGTTGTTGAGGTTGTAGGTCAGGCTTTTTGCCCCGCTGCTTGGGTTCACCCCGTTGCTGTTCGGGGTACTGGTGCTGTTATACTGACTGTTGTTGTTGTTGACCTCGTAGTGGTAATTGTGGGTGGCGACTGGGCCGCTGTAGCCCATGCGGACGGGGAGGGAAGTGAACGAGGAAGGGGAAGGAGGTTTCCCAGAGCTGTTGGCTTCACCATTTGGTTCGTACAGGTTACCCAGAGAGCTGGCTAACCTGGTGCTGGAGGATGGAAGGGAGGGAAACACACATGAAGGGTGGAGGACAGGGAGGACACATACTCGTACCCATATCTACACCGCAGGACACGGAGATCATGGAAATCTGTCTGATAACGGGACAAGGAACTGCATGCATTCTGGACGACACTGTATTTTTTGCTGTTTAAATCATCAAACTCAGCCTGGAGTAAAGCTGGGCGACTTATTCAATACTGATCATTTTTCTAATTGTAAATATTGTTTTTTATATGGAATTCATAAAATTATTAGTACATTAAAATATTTAATGTAATGTAAATTAATGTGGGCACATTGCTGTTTATAAGTATGTATTTTTTAGTGCAGGGCAACGATTAATCGCGATTAATCACATCCAAAATAAAGGTTTTTGAGTGCATAATATATGTATGTGTACTGTGTTTATTTATTATGTATATATAAATACACACACATACATGTATATATTTAAGAAAAATGTTCCGTTTATATATTAAATGTATTTATATATAATATGCATTGTAAATATATACTGTATGTGTGTGTCTTTATATATACATAATAAATATACACAGTACACACATATATTATATAAACAAAAACTTTTATTTTGGATGCGATTAATCGCGATTAAACATTGCCCAGCACTAGTATTTTAATATTTATGCATATAAAAGTAAATTATTCAGCTGCATTATCCAAGTCAATCATTAAATTATGCAATTATTATAACAATTTAAATTAAAATGTATTTTTTATATCATATATTGTGTAATATTGTTATATATATTTTTTTCTTTTACATTTTTTCTAGGTTATGTGAACGTTCGAGTAAACATTAAGGTAACGTACCATTCTATCATTTTTCAAATGTTACAGAAAAGTTACTTTTGAATGTTTTCTGAACAATCTAACATGTAGACTAAAGAGTAGTAAGACAATCTGGAACAAATTTTTTTCTATAAATTAAATTTTTTTGCTAATGTTTTGATAACGTTATAAACTAGATCAGTGTTTCCCAACTGGGGTGCCGTCTGTCGAGAGCAGGGGTGCCGTGTAAAAAATCCTTTTTTAATATTTTTAAATAGCTAAAATTTTCAAAAAAGCAGCTATTATATAATATCCATTTCTAAAGATTTTTTTTTTTTGGCATTTTTGCCTTTTTATTAGGATAGGAAAGTATATATGGACAGGAAACAAGGTGGGAGGGAGAGGGGGGAAAGGATCGGGAAAGGTCCGCGAGCCAGGACTCAAACTCAGGTCCCCCAAAGCGCAACATATCGGCACGCTGCCCACAAGGCTACACTGACAACTGCCGTTACTTATTTGAAAAAGTAACTCATATTTTCTTGTAAATTAAAAAGTAATGGATTACTTTACTAGTTACTTGGGGAAAAGTAATCTGATTACGTTAATTGTAATGCATTACCCACCAACATATATACATATATATAAAAATTAAAGTTCAAATCACCCGGCCCTAGTCCAGAGAGTGTTAAAAATTGCTTTTCAATATGGTTTGAACAGTACTAGAAAGTAGTAGGTATGCACTTGGTCCAAAAATACATGGCTGTGACCCGATAGGTGCTGGTTTGGAGAGAGTGATAGAGTAGTAGGTAGGTGATATGACTCTGAATATCTGATTACATAAACAGCAGGGAACGAGTCGCTGGAAACCAACAGCATGGAGCAACCAACTTGGTTCCTTGCGTTTACGGCTCTCTGTTTCAGAGCATAGGGTAATCACAGAGAGGAAAGAAGGCCACCAGGGAACTGGGAGGACATGAAATAGAGGGGGAGAGAAAGAAAGAAGGAATAAGTTAGACGAAAGAGTTGGAAATAACGAGTCAACAAAGAGTAAGAGGTTGAAGAGTGAGAGAATAAGCAGAATGAAGAAAGAAATGGAAAGTGTAGAAGATTGGAGGAAAGCTGATTAGAGGGAGGTCAGGCTCACCTCTTGAGGTTGGTTGATGAAGATGAAGAGCGGCCAATTCGTTTGGCAGAGGCAGAGACGGAGGAGGATGGTGGGACTTTAGAGGATTTGAGGGGGCAGATTGAGCCCTGGCCAGCGGTTGCTGCTTTCACTCGACTGTAAAACACACAAACACAGACACAAAATCAGCTGATAACACAAAAACACAGTGAACTTAAAAACAGACCCAGACTGCTTATTCAAAATAATGACAAAATGTAAATGTTAACAGCAGTTTCTTCAGTGCATGCATGTGCAAATATAGACACACACACCTCAATAAAAAATTTTGTAAAAATAATTTATTAATATTTGTATATTATAAATTAAACTACAAATGTATATATGTGAAATGTTATATTAATAAGTTAGTTATGAGTATACATATGAAACTAAACTAAAACTTGAACTCATACCTATACTAACTAACTGTAAAGAACAGTGTAGAACTGTTTAAAAATAAATAAAATACTATATAATAAAAAAATTAAAAAAGCTTAATATTCAATGTTTACATAAGCATACTTATTTAATAATAAACTATTTATTTGTATATTTTAAATTACAATAGCTACAATTTACTGTATATACAGGTGCATCTCAATAAATTAGAATGTCGTGGAAAAGTTCATTTATTTCAGTAATTCAACTCAAATTGTGAAACTCGTGTATTACTTATGAGTTTTTTTTTAATCAAAATGGATATTAAAAAATAAGATAAACAGTTCACAGAAAAATATAAACAATTCACAAAAATAGTTTAAATTATAAAACTAATAAAAATAATTTTTTGTACACATAAAAATGTAGTTATTACCCCCCCACACACACACACACACACACACCCACCCCCACCCCATATCCATAGCTACATTACACACACAACATTACATTTAAAAATTCAATAGGACAAGTTCACAAGCACAGGTCTAGTTTTGTCAAAACAAGCAAGGCAGATTTCAGTGAGATTTCATATTTCAATTAAGGGAAGTTGGGGAATTTTAAGTTAAAAGAAAGCAAAAGTAGGTCTGCTGTTATTTATAAGAGAACTGAATAAACAAGATACTGTGATCTGGGCGGTTACCATAAATCTGACTACTAAGATATCAGTCGATCAACAAAATCCTCCCCCACACACCAGCTTCAATGAAAAGTGCCAGACTGTCCGTTCATAATGACCGAAACTTCCCATTCCTAAGAACATTTCTAAGAGCCGATAATGTTGTAGCCAAACACATCTGCTGGGCATTTAACTGTTTAGGAGAAAGTTTCAACAGGAACTCACTTTCGCTACATTCTGTACAAGAAGGGAACCAGGGCATTATGTTTTAAAGAGGCTTTGTTTGAAGAAAATTAAAACAGGAAAAAGAAACGGGGGAAAGTTACAGGCGAGGATACACAATTTCTGGAATTTAGCCAGTCGGCACTGTGGTCTAGTAATTAGCACAAATGCTCCATATATATTGAACCTTTTTGCTCATACAGGAATTCTAATTTAGTTTTCTCTTTAGCTTCAGTGTCAGTTTTTTCTTCAGGTCTTCATTCTTCGGTGCTCTTTTCTCTATTAGCTGCCCTTCCTAATGCTAATCTCAATCTCCCACACAGTTCCTTCTCCTTTTTCACCCACTCCAAAAACTCCTCTTTGACTCACAGTTTAATCTCAATGAAATAACTGACAAGATATATTTGATGAAGGGTTTTTGTCAACAATAGCATGTTTTTTAGAATAAAAATGTAAAAAGAACTGATGAAAAATTACTAATTAATCTCACATTTAAAAATCAATCAAATACAGAGCTCAGGTTTTTAGAAGAACTCAAGAATTAATTTAAAAAATAAATAATTTTATATAAAAATAATTATATATATATATATAATTAGTAATTTGCACATGCTTTATAATAATTTGCAAGATAGACCTTTTCTATGTTTTATTGGACAAACTAAATTTAAACCCTATGCAACATGAAAAATTTTTTTTTTATATATAAATCTGAAATATATTAATACCTAATAAATTACTCCTCATCTATAACACTCTGTACAAAAAAAAAGTTAAAAATTAAACTGAGCTCATTTACTCTTTCTATCAGCTAAACACAGAACAAACTAATTTGCTAAGAGCTCATCCTTCATTCTAGTGAAAAGGAGCTGCGACAGGAAGAGTAGGAGGGCCAGTTATGTCCGAGAGGCCTCTTCAACTCGCCGCTTTTCATGGGAAATTAATTAAGGACTGCGCATTTGCTCACAAGGGGGTGTTTAATTTACATCTGGGTTAAACGTGCTAAAACGGGGCTTGTTCAAATTATTGACGACATCACCATGCACACGAGGATGCGGCATCCTGTTCTCATCGAGCGGTACTTGAAGATCTCGTTTTATTAGCGTTGTGTGAAAGGAGGGGCTGAAAATGAAGATACGCCGGGGTATAATTTGTCTTTGAGTGGCTGAAGTACGTAAAACGGAAAGCGCAAGTACACGGTGTTTGTTCCTTGGGCTATTTTTGTAAATTTGGAGAGGTCTGAGGTAAAATAGCCAGTGTAGTGAGCCAGCAGCTTATGCAAAGCATTTATTTTTTTTAACTGAAGTTCATTTATAAAGGTTAGATAAGATTTCATACGCCAAAAACAGGCCACATGACCATTTCCCAGCCTTAAACAGGTGGTTGTGTTACTGTACCTTTAAGACTTAGTTATATGTAAATGACCTCTGTTATGGCCTCTAAAGAAAAACTTGGAAGAAAAAGTTACCTGAGAGGCTGAGATGCAGACCTAGTGTGTATCTTCATGTCCTCGAGTCTGTTGGAAGAACATTGAGATGTCACTGGGTTCAAGTACACACTGCATGGTTACATAATACATAAACTGCATCTAAAACCCAAGAAAATGGAGCCGAATTTAATGATTGCGTCCCAAATGATGCATACTACATACTGTTTTTGAAAGAAATTAGTATGTAGCATGCATACTGTGCACACTATGTGCATTTTTAGTATGTATTCATTACCCAGATTATCTACTACATTTGCAAAACTGTGCAGTACACAAGCAGAGCACACTGTGTGGAATACTATATCCCACAATGCAATGTGCTGAAATGTATCTTCAATTTATAATATAAATCAATAAACCACAATTTTTAATTGCCTTTTACAAATGATTTGTGTACAGAAGAGACATTTCTAGAATAATCATATTTCTGAGGTAACAGGAGGATGCTAGTTGCATACAAAGTAGTGAAGTCACGTTTAAAATGTTGAGCACACTATTTTTCTAAAAATAGTACACAGTATACATATACACTGGGTAGTATGCAAAAAGCAGTATGGTAGTAATCAATTTCAAGCTAAGCATTCAAACTATACATTTTAAAATAAGTATGGTGTATGCATACTTTGCTAAGTATGTGTATGTTTAGTATACATTAAATATCCAGATTGTCTACTACATTTGCTAAACTGTGCCGTATACAACAAATATTTTACAATTCGATGTATACAAATGACATTTCTTCCTACATTTCTGCATATTTCTGAGGAAATATTTGCACACAAAGCAATGACGTCATGTTTAAAATACTTTGCATACTGTTTTACTAAAAATAGTACACAGTATACATTTTACACTGCATAGCATACAATAAGCTACTAGTAGTCCATTTCAAACTAAGCATTTAAACTAAACACTAAGCTATTTTTAAAATGGATTAGTATGCAGTATTCATACTGTGCACAAAATGTTTAAGTATGCTTTAAATACCCAGATTAAGTACTAATCTAAGTTGCTAAACTGTACAGTACATAAACCACAATATTTAATTGCCATACAAAAACTATTTTAATGAGGTCACGCTTAAAATACTTTGCATACCTTTCTTTTTCTAAAAACAGTAGGCAGTACACTTCATAGCATGCTAGTATTCCATTCCAAACCAAGCATTTAAACATTTTTGAAAGAAATTAGTATGCATACTCTGTAAATTATGCGCATTTTTAGTACGATATATTTGATCAGACTTCCAAATGTTACAACATGTCTGTACAAAACTGATTAAAAATGCAGAAAAAACATTTTATTTCTAAAACTGGAAGCAAGTCGCTGAATTAACATAAAAAGTAAGGTCATGTTATACCAATTTAAAATATTTTGCATACTATTTTCTCAAAAACAATACACAGTATAAATTCTACACTGCATAGTATGCAATAAGCAGTATGTTAGTATTCCATTTCAAGCTAAGCATTCAAACCAAACATTTGCACGATTAAAGTAAATTTGTATGTAGTATGCATACTAAGTACAGTATGTGTATTTTTAGTATGCGTTAAATACCCAAATTATCTACTAAATTTGCTAAATTGGGCAGTATATTAGATTACACTGCGTGGAATACTGTATCCCACAATGCAACGCTCTCAACTTGATCTTCCATTTTCTGTGAGACAAATTAACCTAAGTCATGATTTTAATTACTTATTTGATCAGACTTCCAAAGGTTACAACATTTTGGCACAAAATTGGGGTGATTAACTGGACTACTCACAAAGTAGTATAAATTAGTTTAGAATGTTTTGCATACCACTTTCACAAAAACAGTACACAGTATAGTTTATACACTGCATAGTATGCAGTGAGCTGTATGCTTTAGTTCCATTTCAAATTCAGGACTCTTAAAACCAGCGATATAAAAGCAGAAAGCAGAATGTTTCTTGAGGGTTCGCCCTCCTGAGATACAGGGAAAGCATCTCTCCAAGACGCCATGTTACTATGCCAACCAGCTCTGCGCCTGGTACATCAGCGCTGTGTTCTTTTGTATTTATTTCAGCTCAGTGTCTTGCATTTAAGAGTGGACTGGAAACACTAACCGTGGCCTGCCGTCATTTAGCTATTCACTGAGCTAAAAGCTAATGGAAGTTGAAAGAGTCGTGATAAAAGGCTTCATTCATGAACGGAAGGAACGAGTGTCATTTATGTAATGTGACTCATTATGTTGCGTATATGGAGACCTGAACAGAAGATGTGATATTGGTCTTGGACCAGCTTTGCTTTGCTTTTTATGTCCAGGTTGAGATTCAGGCCCAGAATAGAATACTGCATCACGAAATGTCCCTGAACGCAATTTATAATGCAACAAGTACGAGTTGTATTCTCAGTGTGGCCACAGGGGGCGCTATTGCAGGTTGCGCAATAGTTAAACCGATTAACGATTTGATTTTCCTTCAGAAGATCAAGGGAATTGTGTCTTACCTTATGGCTCCGGTGGTCGCAGACCTCGGTTGCCGTCGACCCTTTAAGGCACGCAGTTTGTCTCCTTGCGTCATACCGAGATCGTTCTCTGCATAATAGTTCTGTTGAGAGTTAGAGAACATCATTGTTTATTTACATAAAAATGTTTCATAATTGTATACACATTGTATATACAAGTTTATACTCTTCTCAGTCAGGTTTCAAAATGAATAAACTAGTCAAGTAGTAAATTAAGTAGTATAATACCAATTTTAAAATTACGCCCAATATTGAAGTCATTAAACATTTTTATTTTTAATTTTTATATCATATTTTAAATGTATATAGTGGTTATCTCTCCAACATCATACTCTTTTTTTTTTTTATGTCAGATTTTGAAAATATTAACCTGTTGAGCGGTACGGTCCCACATATGGGATTGTTTTCGCGCTTTGGCTGATGCTGAGCCAGAGAGAGACGTAGACTGCGCTTGTCATATTATCACAACTATGCAGTGTTTTTAACCACATAATGTTTATTTTAGGTTTCAGACATTTAAATACACATCATTACTAGTAAAACAATACATTTAGAGTTCGTAAAATACACACGGATGTTTATGGAAGCAGCAATAACAATCCATTCAAATATAATTTGCCTACGTGTTTTATTAATATCAGATACACAGTGTAAGTAACTATAAAGTTCACTCTATTCTTCTCCCAGTTCACCGGCCAATTATTTGCATGTATTTCGGGAGAAATTGGTGAATTTACGTGCGGTAAATCGACTGACAGGACTCCCTGAACTGCAGCGCGAACAAACATGGTGGCGCCCATCTCACGTTACAGATCACGATCAAGATTATTTAGAAAGGTTTTTAAACGACAAAACACACTCATTTACACATATTTGTGAATCGGAATATCAGATTGTTCATGACATGGTAAGCAAGTTTATGAATATTTTGAATAAAAAAGGAAAAACTAAATAAAAGCGATCCATCTGTCATACAGTGTTATTGTGGCCGCGGTGTGTCACGTGACAAGCATGACGCGTTGCCATGGAAACAGTAAGGGGAAACGTTCTAAAATAATGATTGCCTAAAAAAAACTCACTCTGGGGGGACCACTAGAATATTTTAAACTCACCAGTGAAAGGGTTAAACTGTCCAGTAGTATTAAATTACAGTTATTTAAATTCTGACCGACATTCCAAAATATTTTTGTTATATTATACTTTTTTTATTCAATGGATATAGTGGTTACGACCAACTCCAACATCATACTCCGTTTCTCTGTCAGGAATAAAAAATAATAAAATATCGATTTAAAGTAGTAAAATATCAATATTAAAATTTTGGCCAACATTGCTAAGGCGATAAATATTTTTTTATTCATTTTATTTATATTAGATTTTTATTTCTTTACTCAGTGTATATGGTAGTTACATCCCTCTCCAATATTACACTCTTTTTCTAAGTCAGGTTTTAAAAACATGAAACTATTCCGTATTAAAATACCGATATTTAAATTCTAGCCGACATATTTTTTCAGGTGATAAATATTTTCATGTTTCATGGCTAATAACCGCTAAAGTGCCAACATTAAAATTATGTATTATTTTCACAAATTATTAAAGGAGCATCTTATGTAAATTACTAATGAGTTATTAGGAATTTTCTTTTTGAAAATTATTTTGAACATTAATTTAAATTTCTATATATAATATTTTATACATAATATATAATTATATATATACAGTGGGTACGGAAAGTATTCAGACCCCCTTAAATTTTTCACTCTTTGTTATATTGCATTAATTCAATTTTATTTATTTAGACAAAATTAAGCACTAATTTAACATTTAAACACTAAAACCTACATTAGTTGTTGAATTTAGGCATCACAACACAATCTTTGCTGCTTTCATACTGTACATTTAAATCTAAATGTAAAAAATTAGGAAATGAGCATAAGCAATTAAATATCCACTATCAACCACTGTGATCTATTAGAAATACCTAATATATTGGCCGATAATTGATATGGTACTGTTCGATTATTAATTATTAATTGATATTGTGCATTCCTTATTTTAAATTGAATTTAAAATAAAAATTGGCCCAGCAGGTCTCACCTCCTCCATACGGTCCAAGCTATGTGATTTAAAGATGGAGGTGTTGATGGAGAGGTTGTCCATACTGGAGATCAGGTGAGGCACAGATCTGTCCTCATACTGCCGCTGCTTGGAGCGGTGAATATCTCCATGCGCCCAGAGACTCGCCTGCTTCCTGTTCAGGTGCATAGAGTATAGTTCCCAATCAATGTCTTGTGGGTATCTTGTTTTGCACAAATAATTCAGCCGTATGGGAAGAAATCTGGACCATTCATTCAATGCCAGTGCCAGATAACGGATACTTTGTATCCAGCACACAGGAATGGAATCTCACACTTCTCACAATGGCCTAAGGAAGAAAATATGCCTGAAGATAACGTTCATTTGTCCCGCGGTGGGCTTTCTCTCGCGCTGCGGCCCGCAGCATCGTGTCAGCCCAACAAAACACTTGAGAGATTAGCTTCAACTGACCTTCACATGACCAGTGCTCTGTTTTGACTCAAACATGACAGAAGTGAACCATGGTCTGGTTATATGGCGCACGCAAGACCTTGATAAAACACAAACGCTGAATCAGACTCAACGTACCCTCCTTTTCCCAAGTCAGAGTTGGATGATTCAGCCAAATGTTGAACATCTGCTGAACTTTCTGATCTGCTTAGCAAAGGAGTGCACTCTCAAAAAAACCTTTTACGCTTTTGACAATACACGACTCTGAGCCAAAGTTAGAGCACTTGTCAACATTATGTAAATGTATTGAACAATAAAAAGATGAAAAAAGCCTCAGGAAGGTGTTAAGAGCCCAAAAGTGGTGCATTGTGGGTCATTTTCAGAACTTACTCTTCTAGGTAATGCTGCTGGGGTCCAATAATAGAGCCGGGTCTGCAGATGCGGATCCAAGCGATGGCTTCAGCAGCCGTGAAGCGGTAGTGCTTCATCAGGTAGCAGCCAATCAGAGTCCCCGTCCGGCCTAAACCCGCTGTGATTGGTTGAAATAAGGTCATAGGTGTTTAAAATGCATATATTATATAAAATTATCTGTTGAAAACTAACTGCTCTTAAAAACACATTTTTGGGGGCTCGTTGGTGCAATTCTAAGGTATCTTAAATGGTTAGTTCACCCAAAAATGAAAATCACTCAAATTCTACTCACCCTCATGTCGTTCCAAACCCATAAGACAATGTGGCCTTAAAGGGATAGTTCACCCAAAAATTAAATATCTGTAATTAATTACTCACCCTCATGTTGTTACAAACCCATAAGACCTTTGTTCATCTTCGGAACACAAATTAAGATATTTTTGATGAAATCCGAGAGCTTTCTGACCCTCCATAAACAGCAAGGTAACTACCACGATCAAGGCCCGGAAAAGTAGTAAGGACATCGGTAAAATAGTCCATGTGACATCAGTGGTTCAACCTTAATTTTATGAAGCTACGAGAATACTTTTTGTGCGCAAAGAAAACAAAAATAACTTTATTCAACTATTTCTTCTCTTCTGCCTTTGACGCACATGGTAATTTCGTGACTGACATGGAAGAGAAGAAATTGTTGAATAAAGTCGTACATTTTTTTTCTTTGCACACAAAGTATTCTCGTAGCTACATAACATTACGGTTGAACCACTGATGTCACATGGACTATTTTACCGATGTCCTTACTACTTTTCCGGGCCTTGATCGTGGTAGTTACCTTGCTGTTTATGGAGGGTCAGAAAGCTCTCGGATTTCATCCAAAATATCTTAATTTGTGTTCCGAAGATGAACGAAGGTCTTATGGGTTTGTAACAACATGAGGGCGAGTAATTAATTACAGATATTTAATTTTTGGGTGAACTATCCCTTTAAGGCCACATTACCATAACACTGATGAACATTTTGGTTCGCTTTGAGTCGGACCTCTATAATAGGGCATTTTAATGTTTAATGCTACATGAAAACAAAGCCATTTTGACAATTATCCTCTTTTTGCGCAAAATAAGTAGGTCAATGAGGCGACTCTGTCATTTGCGTGGCTGTATTTCCATGTCTTTGATTTAAGTGGCGTCTCACCCTTGCAGTGCACGGCCACCGCTCCATCCGTGCTCTCGCAGATGTGCAGGAAGCGGCGGGTGATGACGTCGCTGGGCGTGCTGCCGTCCACGAAGAACAGGTCGTAATGGTCGAAACGGGCGTCTGTGAAGCGCTTGGCGTCGTAGATCTTCTTGTTGAGGCGTACTATGTTGGTGACGTTGTGCTTGCGGAAATATGGGAAATAAGCCTCGGGGGCATGTAGAGGGTAACCTGCCACACACGAGAGCAGGAATAACATAAAATAAGAATAACATAGAATTTTTATCTATATATGTATGGTCACACTATTTAAAGGTCCAATTCGCACTATAACAAACCATTAACTATGACTTTTGCCTCAATAAACTCCTAATTTGCTGCTTATTAATAGTTAGCAAGGTTGTTGTTAAGTTTAGGTATAAGGTAGGATTAGGGATGTAGTGTATGGTCATGCAGAATATGTACTTTAAGTACTAATAAACAGCCAATATGTTAATAATAAACATGCTAATAGGCAACTAGTTAATAGTGAGAACTAGTCCCAATACTAAAGTGTTACCATGTATATATATATATATATATATATATATAGAGAGAGAGAGAGTGAGATAGAGAGAGAGATTTTTTGCTTTAAAACGGCAATCAATATTTATTAAGTTATAATGAATAAACATAAAATTACTTAGTGAATATATAATAAATCACCAATTAACCTGTCATGCAAGAGAAGAGAAAGTCCATCTATTTAAAAATATATCTTTTAAAAAAATAAAAATAAATACAGCAAATATACATTTATTTAATACACATTTCCCATATTTAGATATAATAATAGGGTAATTAATTCAACATGTATTTAAAGGTATATATTAATTTAAAATTACATATTCTGAATTAAAAAAAACAGTAAATATATACACGCAGTCGTGTTGATGCAGCATGTCAGGGAGACGCTGTGTTTCAGTGCGAAAGCAAAAGCACTTTATTTGGCCTTCCGGAAGTAGATGCAATTAGGAATCATTGGTTAAGATTTATTTACAACAGAACAGCACAACCCAGATGTTCGAATTTGTGCAACGTATTTTATGGACGACAGTTTTTTGAACCTAGAAGAGTACAAGGCTGGTTTGCACAAAGGCTATTTCTAAAAAAAATAAAAAATAAAAAATAAAAGGGTAAATTCCGACTTTGCTATGACAATCTGGCGCTTTTGAATCAGCGACTGTAAGTATGTTTTGTTATAAGTTTAAGTTTTTGATATTGACTGTTCAAATGCGGAGTTTTGCGCAGCGATCATATGACCCCTTTAAAAAACTGTGTGTGTGTGTATATATATAACTGAATATCTAATATTTCCCATATTTCGACATATGGGAAGCAATGCTTCTATATTTCTTTAAAATTGCATATTTAAAAATATCTATACATTTCGATTAAATACATAATTCCCATTTTTATTATTTATTAAATATCTATATTTAAAATTAATTTTTTTGAATGAAAAAAACATTTAATTAAATATAAAATATATTTCCCATATTTAGACATAACAATATGGGAAATAATAATACAATATATTAAATATACAATACATTTTCCCATTAACCTGTCACAAAAAGGAAGTACATCATATACATGTAATAAAAAAAGAAGGACTTAAATCCCTATGAGCCCTAACTGAACCATTCGCTCTTAAAAACTACTTTTACCATGATATCTAATATGTTGCACTCTCTACTTCTATGTGTGTGAATCTGACACGTTTGTGTTTATTAAAACAAGGGTGCCCTCTACTGTCACATATGTGTATTAACATTAAACACCATGTCTGAGAAAAGTGCATAAATGAATTCAACATTTGGCTATGAGATGGCAAGCAGCCTTACCATTCTCTATTTTACTTTTCGGATGCGGCCCGCTGAAAGCGAGAAGTTTGCCCGGGACGATCCAGTTCAGATCTCCGTTCTCGACCCGCTGGAAGGACGAAAAAAACAGAATTAAAAAGAGATGGAAAATGAATAAAGATTAAGGGAACAAGCACAAAACACAGAATTGAGCCAAGGAGGTTTGTATTACAGCCAATGGAGAATGTTTTATAATTGGCGAGTTGTGCTGTCGTAACCCCTTCAAAGCGGAAGGCACAGCAGGTGACGGATTACCACAAGCTGAAACATTTACATAATACTAAAGGACAAATCAATTGAATGCTCATTTGGCGTGAATTGTTCCAGCGATTGTCTAAATAATAGCCGAGATTATAACACAGGTAGGCGATGTATAATCACGTTGACTTCGGCGAGCTGTACACGATGTGTGCGATTTAAATAAAATTGACCGAGCCGAGACTATCATTAGGTTAAAACATCTTTGGTTCCCAGGTGGAATAAACACGATTATGTAACCGGCTTAAGGAGCAATGAATGTAATTCTGGGTAAAAACATTGCATGCTGGTTCGCCTAATGAGCGCGAGCATGTCACATTTCATTACCTCGTAATGTTCGTACTCGTTTACGTCGAACGTCTCGAAGTTCAAGAATCCGTGCTGGAGGGCCTGAAAAACAAAGTTTAGAAACATTAGTCATATGCTAACTGCAAAAATGTTCATTCATATGGTGGATTTCACCTGAAAGTCACACAAAATCCTTTATCTGTCTGGCTGTTTAACCAATTAGTCAGTGTAATGGGGCTGAAGCGGCCTGTCTGGTGCTCGGTGAAGGGCTGCGGGGGAAGACGATTAAGGAAAAGGCACACGAGTCGATAAGCCGTGGCAGAGAGCGATGAAGGGCCGCATCTAATGGAGTGTCGGGTTTCTGCTTTTCACATGCATGTCTGCCTCTGACAAAACAGGTTGAAAGTGTACAAAGTGATGTTTTTGTTTTGCTGACTCTTATTCACTTAACTAATATAGCAGTAACATTGGACTTTATACTGCAAAGCGCAGTACTGATACTTTATTCTGCTATGCAAAAGGCTGTAAAAACACAGTAAAAATTGACTGAAATTGGGCCTCTTAAACTATTGTTATGTTTAGCTCATCTGTGTTCAGTTTCAGAGAAAACAGAATGACAATTGAAGTTTCCTTCAATTTCAGTGTAGTTAAAGCTTTTGTAGGGATCTAAGATAAAAAAAACAAACGTCAACCATGAACTGCTCAACATTATAGATGGACCACTTGTCCAATTTTATACATTTAATGTTTTGTAAATAAAACAAAAACTTTAAAAGACTATGAATATATAATAAATAGATATATGAAAGAATATTTTTTAAAGCAAGACATTTTAAAAATGTATATAATTTAATATTTTTAAAAAGTATTTTAAAATAATATAATAACCAAGTTTTTCTAAAACATATTTTTCTCTTCACTTAAAAATATATATACACACATTTATATATATATATATATATATATATTATAAAGTGTATTATTATTACTATGTATTTTCTATATTATTATTATTATATTATATTATATTATATATTTAGTAAGTTTTTCAGCACTATTCTTTTTCTGAGGGAAAAAATGAATAGTTTAGGAAAATTGTTAAAATAAGATTTTTTTTAAATGTTAATATCTATATCTATCTACCTACCTATCTATATATAAAAAAAGTGTATATAAATTATTATTTTACTATTATTTAAAGAACATATATTTATTTATTTTTTAAATACAAATATTTACATTAAATATAACAATACATTGCTAAAATTACAAACATATTCGTCCATGGTTAAAAAATAAAAAATAAATTATATATATATTTTTTTTTTTCTTTCTTTTTTTTCTTTTTTAACCATGGACGAATCTCTCAGAATGACCCTGAGTTACCACATTTGAAGAGTGGGATTAGTCTAGTCAAGATGACAGCCAAGGCGAGGCTATTGTAGTCTATGTTTATTTTGTGCACTTATCAGAAGCAGTATGGAAACAGACGACTGAGAGACTGTCACTGCTACCATCCAACCGTAAAACATGCTGTCCTGAGCTGTAGGGTTGCACCTGTCAGTCAAAACCTAATCAAGGCTGATAGAGGGCACAGCGGGTGAGTGATTATCACAAGCTGTCAAAGTTACATCACTCCAATGGACCAATCAGCTGAGAGCGTTCAGGTATAAAACTTTACAAACAAGTCACACTGAAGTCCACACGTGCAGACGTACAACAGGCGACCATGTCTGTTTACTCCATCTGGATAAAGCGACAGATGTGTGTGCATCTGATACAGCGAGTCGTCTCACTCTCAGGCTGTGGTTATGCAACTGTTCCTGGTCCGGTTTAATCGAACGAGCCCAGCCGCCCTCCTCCCCTCCGCTGCTGACTGGACGAAGAGCTTACAGCAGAAATCCTCTTCTGCAGTGTCAACGGACGGTGTGGATGAGCTGCGCTTAATTACCGCCAACATGGCCTAAATCTCCAGTCTCCTCGTTTTACCCTTGCAGTGGTAATGGTGGAGCCTAGTGGTTAAAGATCTGGGCTGGTAATCTGGCGATCTTCACTGCGTCCTTGATCGAGACACTTAACCCCGGGATGCTCCAGGGAGAATTGTCGCTGTAGTAGTGTATTAGAAGTCACTTCAGGTAAAAGCTTGTGGATAAAACGTGGTTAGCTTACAAAAAAAGTAGCCTAAACAATTTCCAAATGGCTATTGGTGTGTTTTAGAGGGCGTAATTACACAGTTTAAAAATAAAATCACGTTATGAGGTATTAAGTCGCAATTACGAGAAAAAGTTGTAAATGTTTATCGTCATTGCAACAATTTCTCATGGTGCAACATCTCTGCTACATTGTTTCTGACAGTTTGCAACTAGCGCTTTACAATTTTCATCTCCTACAATGTGACTATCCAAAACTGCAACATTGCGAGCTATAGTCACTATTGCGAGAAAAGTTAAAATTGCTTTTCGTAATCTCAAATTTTTCTCACAATGTGACACTTTACAATTGCTACATTTTCTAACCATTTCCAACATTTTCCTCATAATTGCAACTTCATCTGTTTTCATAAACAAAAACTGTGATATTGTGAGACAGTCACAACTACGAGAAACAAGTTTGCAATTGTGAGAAAAAATTGTTTCTCGAAATTTCTACTATTTCTTACAATGTGACATCTGACGTTGTTTCTAGACTGTTTGCAACTTTTTCCTTATTGCAACTTTATTTCTCACACAATGTGACTATTCAAAAATTGTGATACTGTGGAATATAGTCATAATGGCAAGAAGTTATAATTGTTTATCTTAAGACTTTTTCCTCACAATGTGACACTATAGTTTCTTACAATTTGCAACATTTTGCTCAATTGCAACTTCGTACCTTGGACAAATTGACTTGATCTCAATATAATTTTGTGGAGATAGTCACTATTGTGAGAAAAGTTATAATTACTTGTCTTAATTCAGTCTTTTTCTCACTGCTATATTGTTTCAGACAATTTGCAACATTTCCTCAATTGCAACTCCATATCTCACATTGGGACTTCATATCCAAATATTGCATTAGTGAGTTCACAATTATGAGAAACACAATTAGAAGTCACAATTACAAGAAACAAGTTTGCACTTATGAGGAAAAGTAACCATTTCTCGAAACTGCAACTACTTGTGACATATAACTGTTTCGGACCATTTGCAACTGTTTATTCATAATTGCAGCTTCATGTCACAAAAACGTGAATTTTCCAAAAATTGTGATATTGCGCGATACAGTCAATTGTAAGCTATAATTTCAAATATTTTTACAATGTTTTCCCCATAATTGTGATTTCATCTCACACAATGTGATCAAAAAAATCACTATATTGTCACAATTAAGAAAAATTCAACGTGACTAATGTGGAATTTTCGAAACTGAAGTCGTAATTACAAGAAACAAATTTGCAATGAAAAAAAGTCACAAATTATGAGTTACAAAGTCACATTGAAAAATCTAAAATCGCAATTACAAGAAACAAGAAATTAGGTAAATTTGGATTTCAAATAAACTTTTATTTTATATATATATATATATATATATTTATTAACTAAGATTTTTCTCTGTGGAGTTTGATCCTACAACATTTTGGTTACCAGCCCAGATGTTTAACCATTAGGCAAACCCAAAAACAAAAGAACTGCTCTCATGTTGACAAATCGGGCATTAACTCCTCTTTAGCAGCTTGGAGAGAGGCAGCAGTGGTGATTTGATCATTAACAGGATTCAGTGTTTATCACACTCACAGATGCCGTGTGTGGCTCATGCAATTAAGGAGCTGTTAATTAGAGCCGGAGGGGAGGCACTGATAAAACTGTCACATACGCCTGTCTCAAAGCAACAACTACCATCGTAACAGCAAAGCACAGGAGGGCCCAAAAGTCTTTAAAATGTAACATTATTTGCTACAGAAGTTATTCATCTTTGTTAAAAAATACAACTCTTAGTTCATGTTAGCTCATTAAATAACACAGTTGCAGCTTTTGATTTTAACAACATGCTATTAAATATTAGAACTACCTTAGATTAATTAATGTTTAGAAGAATTTTTCATTTGCAGTTCATGTTAACTAATGAATTAACTAATGAAGCCCTAATGTAAAGTGTGACCAAACAATAAAGAATCAAAACACTTTCAAACAATATCTAGGGCATGTTGTAGTCCAGATTAAAATGTAAAAAAGTTTGAAAATAAATAGCCTATTAAATCTAAATATTAAAGTATTTGGTGCTGTGATGAACACACAAATAGCGAATACACAAATCTGAATGGCTATTTAAATAATTTAAACACGCTTCAGAAACAGAAAGTAGTGCAGCTGCTTTGTTTACAGGGTTTACTGGGTAACACTGCATTTCTGCTGTTTAGCGTCATCTGCTGTCAGAGAGTGAAAGTGTTTTCATCCGCCATGCGCTTCTCATCCGTGCTTGTTTACATCAGAATGCGCACACTGTGACGCAGCATACAGCGGTGTTGTGCATTGTGAACAGTTGATGGGAAAAGTATTCTTAAAATGTATTAAAAATTCTGAATAATTCGTAATAAATAATTATTGTCGGTATTTTGAAGTGCCCACGACAACAATATCGTGCATATTAATTATCGTGATATATCGCATTACCGAATACCGGCACATGTCTAATACATATATACATATATATATATATATATATAAAATGGTGGGGTTAAAACATTTGTATAGTACTATAGTGTACATCTCACCTTCCTAATGCCTTGCAAGCAGTCGAGAACTGTCAGGTTGTATGTGCAATTCCCAAATGAAGCATCCCTGAAAGAGAAACGAGAAGGCATGTTAAAATTGCGTGGGTGTATTTACACAAAATACAATCTAACAAAAAAGAAACACCCACAGGAATATAAACAAGAATATCAAGTCATGTTATGCACAAAGAACGGGAACATAGACACTGATTTCAAACCATTGCTCTCAGGTGGTCTGCTTTCAATAAGAGTAAACCATTACCTGCCCATGAATACAAGTAACTGGGTCAGGGCCTTTGTGTTTGGATGTGGGAGTGAAGGTAAAGTGACAGGCGAGACTGTGTTTGCTTTTGTCATGTGTTTGTGAAGAAAGAAAACCTTGCTGTGGAGAGTGTACATGTGGGAAGCCAGCAATACGATGGATTACATCTACAAAGTCAAGGCAAAATTAATGTCATGGACAAGAATGTTTTGAACACTTTTAATTCAGGTTTGTTTGTGTACCTAAAATGATGTCATTGGGTCAAGGGAAGCCAGGGTTGTAATGAAATGCCTAATGCCTCAGAAACTAAAAGGGGCCAATACACCATCCCTTGCTGAACGCACGTCAAGGAACAGGTTCTTTGTGTCCGCTTTAATTGAGTTTTGCATTATGCATGCGCTTAATTCGCTCTTTATGATGCAGGCTGGGTTGCATAAAAAGTGGGTCAGTGTTCTGCTGGGATCCTTTCAGAAGTCTCCCAGCGTGCCTCAATGGAAAGTATCAGGCTCCATTTACCCACACAAACACCACATACTCGCATATGCAATCCCATAACTCCCAGAAGAGGGCATGGAGGTCTTGTGTATTGGTCCACTGCTTCAAGGTAACAAAAATCATTAGACTTGATAAGTCTATCATTAGTAGGTTTATTTCTTTAAAGTACAATGAATGATTTTTTTCTCTTCTTTTTTTTTTAAAGTTATATTGTTGGTGCGTTTATGCCTTTATTATTGATAGGACAGTGACGATACGAGAGGAAAGCATAAGGCAGAGAGAGGGGAACTCAGGTCGCCGCAAGGCTATCAGCGCCGACCAATGACTAGTTTTCAAAGCAATGTTTCCATTTTAAGTTCCTCAGTATTCCCCTTGAAACAAAGTATGGTTAAAGTGCCGTGCTCAAGGAAAAAATGTGATGGATTTGAACTTTTTGGTTACTAGCCCAAATGTTTAACCCCAACAAGTTTATAGCACCACCAACTCAAATTTGAAGAAAAACACTAACAAGCACAGTCATCTTTAAAAAAAAAAAAAAGAAGGGAGACAAGATGAAAACCCAGGCAAGTTTCCAACAGAGCTTTGCAGAAAAATTTATTTTGTTCACACAATTATCTGTACCAGCAGGATCCAAGAAATGTTTGAAGATACAGCTGGAGACTTTCCCACCAGCCAGTGGCTCATTCATCTTCCTTCCCTCGGCACAGAGAAATGTTGAGCCAATCGATTTGGCTGTAGAAACACAGCGGCTTACTGGCACCAATTATAGACTTACATCCTGAGGATTATGTAATGTCTCACCTCCGGGAGTGGAGGTCAGGAGTTAGACAAACCTCATTTAAAACGGCACATCTTTGTCGACTTTTAATTTACAAATTGGAATATTCAGCAGATGCTTTCATTCAAGGCGACTTGCAAGGACAGTCCCCTACGGAGTAACCAAAGGTCAAGTGCCTTGCACGGGGGCACATTGGTTTTGCCCCTTGTGCGGTCTGGAACTTTCGGCGATCGGCCCAAAACTCAAATCTCTAGACTAAACAACGTGACGGATAGTTTTGAATGAACAGGTAATTACAAGCTCAAGAGCCATTACCTTAAGTGGCAAGTCAAACAATGGTATCTCATGGGAATGCATCTACCGCAATTAGTTTCTCCAACAAAGAAGGTATCAGAGAGGGCTGGTCAATGCATTCACATATAAATCTGCTTCTTTACGGTCTTAGGCTGGGTTCAAAAGGCTGGGATAAGCAGAGCTGTTAAGCACAGGGTGTGTCCTGGGCGAGCACTGTAGAGGAGCAAAGCAGAACAAGCTTACAGATGCCAAAACCACAAGCCGCACTTTAGTGCCATTACGTAACCACAGACGCAGATATGATTTGTTTTAGCAGATACAGATTTACGGCCACAGCAGTAGATGCTGTAATCATACAGGGTCAAAGTTCCTCAGAGACTTGGTAGGCTGGGTATCTTCATGATTCAAATATGATTTAATAAGTCTAAAAGCTTTCAATGCACACGACAACTTGGCAAGACAGTTACAGCTTAACCGACCTAAAGCTGAATGAAAAATGACAGGGCAATGAAAGCCCAAGAGAAGAATTCTGATTGGATTTTTATTAGTTGACCCAAGAATTGGTGGAAAAACAGAAAAGAGATGACTGTATGCAAGGTCTTGGTGATGTAATGTGCCAGTGATCGAATAAGGAAGGAATACATGAGTTCACGGATTAAATTTGGCATACACATGCAGTAGTGAAACTTTAAAGAAACAGGAACCCCAATTTCGGAAGTGAACCCTCCCCCCTTGCGCATACAGGACTGGGTGTGGAGTTCCTCAAAGAGACCCAGAAGACTATATTACTCTATCATGCTATATCTGGATTAGTTGGGCTCAAATGGACGGGAAAAAACTGGACTAGATCTTGCCATACAGGGCAGAGTAGGACTTGCTTACTTCCTCTGGAAGACTGCCACTGCTTTCCTCTTAGTACTGCCAAATATTTGGGCAGACAGAGAAAGATTCTTCCCTGTTCTTACAAAATGGGAGAGTAATGCTAAGGTCTGAATTGTCCGCTGCAGACTGAAGCCCCCCATCCAGGTCATTAGAGGACAGTCTCCATACTTGTATAACGAACGCACACTGGTTCACTTGAACATAGATTACACTGCCAACAAACCATCTGAACTATCAGGTTACTTCAAATGTCATCCTAAAAATACATTGCTTGAAGACAATAACTTCAGGTCATGTTGTGCATACCATTATTAGGTGTAAACTTGTAGGTTATGTAAGTTTATTTCCAAGTAAGCCTTGGTGTGGGAAAATGCTGCTTTGCAACCAAGATCAACGTGCAGACATTTTGGCTGGATAGCAAGACTTTGCTTACGCAAGATGGATCAAAACCTTACATTCCCAAGTTTTGTAGGGCTACTAAAAATAGTCTCAAAAAGTGGCCATCTGAAATCCATTAAAGCCCTGTTCTTGGAACAAGAAAAAAATGTGATGGAAAAGGTGCAGCATGTTATTATTTCAGAAATATACATAACTTAGCCAACATCTTGTAAATTCTTCCTTTGGTGACGTACTGGGTGTCACACAGAGCTTCACTTTATTCAATGGTATGTCCCATTCATTGTTTACCATCAGGACCCCTTCCCTCTCATAGACAACACAACTGTTTACTTTCTGAATTAACCAATTGCTAAGAATTACGTAACTATGTCGCACTGTTTGTCTCCACGAGTAGCATGGCTACAGCATCCAAGTGGGGGGCGCAGTGACAAAGCGCTTTTCTTCCCTTGCGCAGCTACGCTGCTAACAATCACATCTTTGTGGAGAAACAAGAGCCCAATTAACCTTCAAGATGGACAGAACAGCAAACAGAGTAAAAGAAGTGCCACAAGAGGCACGACTAGTAAACATACTGGATGATTTTATACACAATGAATAATTAAAAAACCAGCAGACTCGATGTTTCCTTCAGGACTTGAGTCTTAGTAGTTTAACCTTTGCTTGGCCACATATCAAGATTCTGCCCTAACCAGGACCATAAAAAAGTGTACAGTTCATATTTTAAAAATGTAGTCACATTTACAATGCCAGGTACACAATAAGCAGGATAAACACTAATTACACTAATGGTGACCTAGATGCCACTGAACATTAAAACTGGCAAAGATAAATAGTTGCTTCCCTACAAGTGCAGACAAGCCCAAGAAGCAGTTATGGTTTTTATAAACTAGGTCAGTCTCTAAATATTGTGATGAGTAAGTGCCTTGACTTGTCAGTGATGAAAAAGATTAAATATTTAAGAAATGCCTTATGAAAGGCATAATTTCATAACCAAATATGTTATTTAATAATATGAAATAGTTTTGCACACATCAAGATAAGTACTAAATATCACTAAACACTAAATAAATTATATATATAGCCTAATATTTAAAAAACATTTTTAAGGGAAAACTGAATTTAATTCAAAAACATTTTGCAAGTTAGAAAAGTCAACATATTTTTTGATAACGACTCAACTGTTACTCAAAAGGAAGTGTTGGATAAAGGTTAATCTCCTGAGAAGTAAAGTGCAAGAGCATTTGAACTAATGCCCACACAATAGACATGTTGACCAATAAACCCAATAATGAGTAACATAATTCCTTCTGGTTTCAGAGACCAATGACGGTCAATGATTAAAAAAAAATTCCCTTGATGACACAAAAGTTTTTGTTACAAAGAAAACCAAAAGGAGATTTCAACCTTTTGGGAAAAGCATTAATAACAGCACTTTAAAAACAAAGCTGCTGTTTCCTGTTTGCATTCAGTGAATGATGCTTCCAAACTGTTTGGAGGCCAGAGCTAATCTATACCGGAAGCACTTACAGCCTATCTCAGAAAGCACAGATATACGGTCTGTTCCATAAATTCATAAACCCTGGGTTAAAAGCATCATGGGACTGCACTGAAGATCGCAGATTTAGAAAATGTAGGCCTCTTCACTATTCAGTGCATACAGCTCTGAATCATTAGCCAAAGAAAGTCCACTTCAACAATGAGTGTTTCTGTTCGATGAGGCCATGTGTCCCTCATTATATATGCATGCATAACAGAATATGCAGCTATGTGCTTGGCCTGGGTGAACTTTAAAGGGGTCATATGATGCTTTTTTAAAGATCATTATTTGGTGTAACAGAATATGTTGACATGCTTTAATGTTCAAAAAACACATTATTTTTCAAATACTGTACATTATTGTAGGTCCTCTATGCCCCGCCTCTCTCAAACGCTTCGTTTTCTACAAAGGCCCTCCTTCCGACAAGCGCAGTCTGCTCTGATTGGCCAGCTGACCCAGTGCATTGTGATTGGCCGAACACCGCAAGCACTCGTCGGAAATGTAACGCCCCTTACCATAATCGCGAGCTTCATCTTTCAAAATAAATGTAAAGACAGAGCCCGAAAGGGGAACGGAGTCATAATGTGACCACCATAAAACTGTAAAAGGAATATTATGGAATAAATAACACAGTTTATTCTCAAAAATAAGATATCAGTCAATTTCCCCAGAATTTAACCTATTCTTTCTCTCTCACCATTGCAAAGTTTTTAATCATTGAAATTTAATTAAATTTAAGCAAATTTAATACATGAATTAAACTATTCATTAAAGGTTATTCATTAAAATACACTCTATATTTTTTTTAAATAACATTATTACAAATGCATGAATATTTAAAATAAATTAATATTTAAGGCCATATCATGTATATACATCACATAGAATGTAATAAAAATAGGGGCGGGCAAAATACCGGTAGACACGATTAAACGGTAGAAATTTGTGGTTACACGCTCACTTGACATTGCTGTGCTACATGGTCACGAAAACTTATCGTTTGCATTTTTAATCATTGCGGTTTAAAAACAAGTGATTTTAAGCCATTGAAATGCAATCAGTAGCGAAAGAGAACTCATTTCACTATATATGTGTGCTGTCTGAGAGGCGCGTGCACATGAAGATGGTGCTCAGAGCACGGGAGTTATTTTTGCCGCTTTATAGGCCTTGAACGGTTAAATACACACACTTGTTTGTGTCAAAATGCCCGTCTATGCAAGTATCCTCATAAACACAGTAATTTAGGTCTTAAGTGAAAGCAAACAGCTGAGAAAGAAAATACATATGTTACAGTATATTGGATCTGGGCAGCTCTTAAAGTGACAGCAGTCTAATATTCCTGCTGTTTGTCATTCATTTTAATAAAACAACAAGAGAGAGAAAATCTCTCACTGGATAAATTTTTTTAAAATTATTAATTAAAAGATACTTAATGTTATATTAACATTTAAAAAATATTCAAAATTAAATATTTAAGGCCAAATTGTTATATACTTTTATTTATTATTACATATGATATATATTTTTTAAATGTATTATATACATACTTTTTTTTTGCATGCTAACCACCAAGCCATGACTCCAACTCTTTTTTTTCCTGTCTCCCATTGCAATCCTACCTATTTATTTTAATCACATTTTAAACATTATACTGCACGGGAACACTACTAATAAATCACCACTAGAGTCTAGTGATTGAATCTCAACAGTAACACCTTCCAATAAAAAGTTACACAAAAGTACAAATGAACACCTATTACTCTCATTTTAAAATGACAACACTATTATCCAACAAGATGACCCATTCACAACAGAATTGTCCCTTTCTCTACCCATTCACAAATCTGACAGAGTAGATTACCACTACACACCAGCTGCACTGAGTCTAGAACCTGCCACAGATGGTTTTCCTCCTGCTCAAGGGCCTTACGTATGTCCTGCTCAGCCTTGCGTATGGCCATCAGCTCAAAGGTTTTAGTGTCCTGTCCTTTGCGACAGTTTGAAACCGAGTCCAGAATTCAGCTCAAGAAAAGAGATTACATGAGTGCGCTGACCCAGCCGTACGCTGTAATCCCAAATTAAAGGCCAGAGATGTTGACCCGCAGAGGCAAAATAATCTAATCCCGCTGCAATTATGAGCATCACTATATAGATGCACGACAACAACTATCTGGCCTGTCAGCTTCATGGCTTGCAAAACGTCTGTGCTGTTTTTCCACTTTGCTTGTTTATTTATCTGGGCAAAGAAGTTTATCGCATTAAAAACCCTGTGAGCCACAGGAGAGACAATATTTCATGCAAAATCAGATTAGAGTGCAGTGTGTGATAAGCAAGGGAGAGGGAGAGGAAAGTGGGAGAAATGAGGCAAAATATATATTAGCAGAGGTTTGAAAACAACAGACATTTTATTTTTATTTTTTTCAAATCCATTTTGCAAAAGATGTGGATATGTGGTGGGTGCTTACCTGAAGGGAAGATATGAGGCATTGGAGCCGGAAATAAGGGCTCTATAGGCTTCCTCTGGTGTTTTCTTTAGGTAAATCACCTGAGACGGGAAACATGAACAGGAAATGACATTAGTGCACCAGCAAAGCAGCTGAATGCTAGGTACTAATTCTATAGGCTTTAACATAAGTGTTGTTAGTGTTAACGAATAAAAATAATTTCTGGCAATCGTTGGCCAAATAATTATTTTGGTAAAAATGTTGGTAATAACTGTAATAACTGAAAATGCTGAAATAAAATTAAATATAAATATTAAATGAAAAAGAACATAAATGAAAATTAGAAATGTTGCAGTGGAAACAAACTGAAATAAGCAAGTACTAAAATTATTAAAACTAAAATAATAATGAAAACTGAAAATGTAAAAATAAAAAATATAAGCCAACTTAAAATATTAGTAAATACTATAATTGTATTTCAAATAATATTAAAATGACAGTTTGAACACAGACTTTGAACACAGTACTTATTAGCGAACCGCTTCATTTAGATGGTTTACAATTGGATTAACTGATTGGGAAAAAAATGTTTGGTTAGAAACAATTAATTTCTAGATACTCAGTTTTTCTGGTTTTAGTCAATGAAAATATCCTTTAAATTTAGCCAGTATTTTATCATTTTAGTCCAGTTCACTGGCTGAAATGAAAATATTTTAGTCGACAATCGTGCAAAATAATTTTTCTTGTAAAATCTGTTAAATCACAATCTGACTTCCAGAAAGAACAATTTGTACACAAATGGGACACCACTACTTCCCAAACCCCTATTCAATCTTTTTCCTCTTCACATCTGTCTGTGTTCCTCTTTATCCCATACACAAATGCACTTTCAGGAAAGTGATGTTCGGGCAGAATGTGTCACACAGATGAGATGTTGTGGCTCAGCACAATGGGGCCCTTCTCAAGCTGGGACGACTTGTCACGGCACAGTGCGGCAGTCGCACACACAGACTTGCTGAAGCGACGAGTTTTAGCGGTCATCTACTCCCTACATCCACATCAATCCCTCTTGACATCATGGAAAAGGACTCTATAATAAGAACTCTGCTCACTCCAACATTTTTGTGGCTTGATGTCAGAATGCAGCAGTATGGTGCCAACACAGAAAAGAAACGTATGTGAACCGCGTCAAAGCCCAACATGAATTAAACAAAGAAAAAGGGGTAGGTCAACTCAAAAATGAAAATTATGTAATTTACTCACACTCCGTTCTTTCTGAATGTTATTTTGTTCATGGAAGAAAAATGAAAAATTTTGCTCGCTCTTTTCCATGCAATTACAAAAAACTGAGTGTGAAGCTTCAAAACAGAGGCACAAAAACATTAAAATATTCAATTAAATTTTCACCAAAAAATTCCCTTTATTTGTGAACAAATCATTCATACCAGTTTTGTGAACTACAAGCAATTTACTGAAATGATTCAGCTAAAAAGAATGATTCATTCACAAATCTGACATAGCTACTTCTCTTATAATTGTGATTTTCTGTAAATGAGTAATTTTTTCTGTAAATAATAAATTATACCTGACTACAAGTCACACAGAGTCAAAATTGCATTATTGAGAGAAAAAAAGCAAACATAAGTTGCATCGACGTAATGTAAAATACCGGTTCATTAATGAATTTTATTGTTTACAAACAATAAATACACTATAAACACTCCATAACCAATCCACTAAATAAATAAAAAAAACAGGAATGTACAGGAAAGTATAAAGCAAACAAATGACAGTGACATTTATTTAAAACAACATTTATTAGAAACGCCAAGCCTAAACGAATTTACTAAATAAAACAAACCTAAATTAAAACTACAACTACCGGCATGTGGGAAATGCGCTATATTCGCCACAAATCCAAATGTGTTTTGCGTTATTTGTACTATAAATTGCAGCACGTTTGATTTTCATTCATGTTTATTTTGTGCTATAACTAGTAAAGTGGAAGAGATGATGGGTTCACGTGTCACTTGAACTGAGGCGTTTCAGTGATCTGTCACGACACATAAAAAACCAACAAAACAGTATTTATTGTTTGAATTTCTTTAAAAATGCCAAAATTTGTAAGCTGAGAATTTGATTCACACTAAAAGTAACCTGCTCTTTCTTGTCTGTTGGCGCGTTGTCAGTTTACTCTTTGCGCTGCGATGTATTTTTCACTGCGTGAGAGAGGCATGGCTTGCCAATTGCATGGAAAAGAGCATCCCGCACACTCTTCAAAATAACTTTTTTGTTCTACAAAAAAAAAAAAAAAAAAAAAAAAAAAAAAAAAATTTTTAAAAAACTTCTGTTTGAAAAAGGAATTTCTAGAGTGTGTTAAGAGTAGTTCACTTATATTTACATAACTGATGATTTACTTAAAACATACAGATTTGAAACAACGCAAGAAACAGAATTTTCATTTTTGGTTGAACTAAACTTTAAGATCTCCAGTACTTGACGACCCTGACACTTGACCTCACTCCTAGTTCGTGTTTTGCTTTTGAAGGCTGTGTCTGTTCTGCAGGAGACCAGAGCTTTATAATTTGTGCACGAGCTCATGAAATATGCACCGGCCAAACAATTAGCTGAACAGTTCGGCAGATTAAGTTCAGTCCCGTGAGAAGGGTCAGCGTTTGTTTATTTGTGTTGCGCCCTATTGCCCCATGCGACTCAGATGGATGATCTTAGCCCAGCTGTTCAACCAGTACAAATAATCTCCTTCATATGATAAAACTGGGTCGTCTACTGCAGGGCAGATCAGCAGCAAACATCTGCGCTTGCCAGAGGAGCACATCCCACACAAGCCTGGATCAATAAAAACCTACTTACAGAAGATTCACTCCAAGAGCAGAAAGACAAAAGCACTACATTGAACACACGTCCATGCATGCAGTGAGTGATGGGCAAGACCATGTAGAGCAGAAACAAGGTTTAATGTAATTTGGAAATGATTACGGTAGTATATGAGAGAATTATTTAAAACACAAGCTTTATTGAGTCTATAGGAGAGAATCTGCAAGATTTTATGACCGTCTCCAGAGGTTGGGTTTTTGAAGGAAGCTAAAATGAGTTTCCATTTAAGGCAACTAAATTAAGACCGGGATCAAGGTTCAAACTAAATTTAGACTGGGAGGGTAAATGTGACCATTCCTAGTAGACCGATTTTGAGGAAGTACACCAACTTTGAGGGATATTTGCAAGATAATTAGAATTGCAAAGACAAAAATGAAAGCAGCCCACATTTTCTGTAGATTCTTTGTCAGGTTTACCTCACAATCTTTTGAATGCCGTACACTCTCATTTCAAGTTCATCAAACTTAGTGTCAAATTATATAATTATATGAAAGTTTTATATACATTTTCCCCCAAAATATACTTACATATGCATAACTTGTTTTATCCCAACTGTAAATTGAGTTGTGAATTGCATGTGATGTTTTATGGATAAATCATTATTATGAATGTAGACTTATGTAAAATCGTGAATTCTGACTGTTCACACTGAAATCATATTGTGGGAAAAAATATATATAAATAAAAGTGACTCAGACCCAAATAAAAAAAATGTCAGGTTTAATGTATGCAACTGGTCAAAAGTTTGGAATAATTAAGGTTTTTCTAATGTTTTTCAAATTAATCTATTCTCACCAAAGCTGCATTTATTTGATCAAAAATACAGCAAAAACCGTAATAATGTGAAATTATTACAACTTAAAATAACTGTTTTGTAAAAACAGTGTAAAATAAATGTAAAATACAATTTATTCCTGTGATGCAAAGCTGAATTTTCAGCCATTACTCCAGTCTTCAGTGTCACATGATCCTTTAGAAAGCATCTTTCAAAAACATTTTAAAATCTTAATTATAACAAACTTTTGACCTGTAGTTTTGAATACTTTATTTTTTTTTTTTTTTTTTGCAAAATAAGACAAATTAAATATATAAGGGAGCCAAAAACATCCAAAAAAAAGTGGAAAGTTGAGTAGCAGCAACAAACATCCAGCACAGGATTTATGGTGGCACGCAGCCATTGCGTCACAGTCCAAAGCCAGATTATACAAAAAGACAGATTATAACTCGTCATGGCCCTCATCCAAAGAAAAGCAAGGGAACATCAGATCCCCCCACTCTTCGAATAGACCAGAATCAGGTAAAAAAAGATGTTGATATTGTATAACAACTACCAACCTTTTCAGTTCCCTAATATTTGAAATTGGAGTTCTAGTAGGAATGAGTTAACAATTGCTTCTTTGAAGGAAACTGGAGAAGCATCTCTCATACCACTTCCTGTCCATGTTGCCATTTAGGACTAATCAATATTAATGAGGAAAGAGCGTTCTTAACTCCCAGAGCTTAGATCATAGTGTGAGACAGTAGCTGCTTTGTCAGTACAAATCAGCACAAATAAACTGAATATACGTGAGTAGATGTGCATGCTTGATTATTTGCAGATCAAGCTATGAATATTATGGGGGAAAAAATGGTGCCATGACCCTGTAAAACTGGGCAGTCATTTAAAAGAAGGGCTTATCAAAATGGTACACTGACCCACATTACAGCTGGCACCTGTGCCTTTGACAAAGCCAACGGTGCCATCTGAGCAATAAATCTGCCCAGACCGGAGTACTTCCTTGAGAGCGCCAGGAACAGGAAGAGTGGAGATGTCCAATGGCGCAATCAGCTGGCATGGCTCATACGGCCATAGCGTTTCACAAGGACCGGACCAGACCGGAGTCCTTCCTTAAGAGCACCAGGAACAGGAAGAGTGGAGATGTCCAATGGCGCAATCAGCTGGCATGGCTCATACGGCCATAGCGTTTCACAAGGACCGCTGTGTACATTGTGGTCTACATGAATGAATGCAGTGGAACAGGACAAACTGGCACGCGAGCCAGTCAAGGACATAGTTATTGTGCTGCCACAACGCGGGGGACGCACCAGTCAGTCAGCAATCTGTCGCCGTCTCTGAGGGGGAGTCTGGAATGAGGACACTGGCAAACATCCGAGAAGACTTTGTATGACAAATGAATTTGAGGTCGATGTGGGAGGATTGTTGGTTTTAATGGAAACAGCTGAGTGGCTAATTTGCAGGGCCATGACAGATTCCGCCCTGGATGCGAATCCTCGAGACCGGTGAAAGCAATTAATGACAGTGACAGAAGTGAGATACTCACAGCATAAGCACCAATGAGCACAGCAGCGTTAGCCCTTTTGCGCTGGTCGAAGCTGGTGTAGTGCACAATCCTCTTTCTGGTCAGTGTAAACGACTGGAAAGAAAAACAAATGCATTGCAATCAAAGTTCATGAATACTTTTAAAATACGCAATTTATTTTGGATAGCTTGGATTACATCAATTGTTCAATGTAGTTTTTATTGAAAATGAAACCCAAATAGCATAAAAATGCATAACTTATCTGTTGTAAGTTTTTAGCAAAAACGACATGTACATTAATCATTAAACATTTTGCAATTTAAGTACTAAACAGCATCAATGGTATTTTAAAGAAACAAAACTGTAACTTGAGAGAAAAAAAAACTGCATTAATCACTACAATGTAAAACATGATTTTAAAACAATGTTAAGAGATTAATGGACTTTTTTTCCCACTAAACTTTTTTATTTATTATTTTAACAAACACCAAGTTTAGTCAACAAAAAAAAAAATGTATCTGTCTTTTAAAATGTAACAACATTTGCAATTGAATTTCTTTAAAATGCTACTGACATAAAAGCATTTCATAGAAACTGTAATGCAAAATTTGTTGCATTATACAGTCAATTTGTATCAAATCGAAACACCAAGTTTAGTCAACAAAAATAATTTTAAAAATGTCCAAAATGTACAACATTTGCATTTCAATTTCAGAAATTGAAAGAAAATTAAAAGATTGTTACATTATGCAATTTATACCAACTGTTAAACTTTTTGCCAAAAATCATTTTAACAAACCAAACAAATTTCATAAAACTGCTTCAATCATTAAACTTGGTTTTCATTAACAGAAAATTAAATGCATTTTTATACAAAAATTGGAAATTGTATTAATAGTACTGTAATTTTAATTAGAAAACAATATTCATCATTCATTTATCATGGTTTTCACTATAATGGAACTCCAATAAAAACTGGATAAAAATTTTTTTTTTTTCAATTCTATTTTAACTAAAAAAAATTTAGTTAAAACATCAATCTTTTTGTTAAAGCATTTTAACATGAAAAGAAAAAAGAACTGCAACAATCATTTAACTTGTTGGTTTATCTTGATTAAAAATTAAAATCTTGGTTAATGTAAAATCACTCCAAACCCATTTACAGTTAACATGGCTGGTTAGATGTTTGGGAAACTTATGAGAATCTCATCAACAAAAGTCTCAGTATCAACCAATTTCACATGCTTAACAAACACCCTTTTTGTGCTTAAACTAGCTTGAGGTGTTCTCTGGATGACTCAATTGAACGTGTTTTACATGAGGGAATTTGGAGACAGATGTTCTAGCATCTGCCCCAGCTGCTGCAGTAGAAGTGCTGCAGGTGAGCCGAAATGTGTGCGCAAGACAGACAGCATGTAGCTGCTAAAAGGCAATTCATGCACAGACACAAGTCAAAAGCTTCAGAAAAATCTGTGCCGGAGCCGAGCTGAACTGAAAAGCCCTCAAAGCATCTGTTCCTGTGTTACTCCACATGTCGCAGAGTAAAGATTTGGCTGGGGTGGGATAACAGTGGAAAACAAACTGCCGGCACAACAAATGAGGATTCAAACTTGTCCACCTACAATCCGCCCCCAAAGAAAAAGAGACATTCCGAAGGCAAAAGTAAGGAAAGGAATTTTCCAAAAGCTCTCTAAGCTGAGAGATTTTTTTCAGAACCTCTTAAAAAAAATTTTGACTTTTTTTGCCTTTTTTTTTCCTCTTAATAATTTTTTTAATAAATATTCGTTGTCTTAACTTTACAAAATTTTGGAAAGTCATAACAGGGTTGAACCTTTTATCCTTCCAATGATAAGCACAGTAATATTAAATATCAACTAGTTTGGAAAGTGAAGGTGTACATGTCATCTTTTCTCATAGAGTATATAGTAACAATATTAAATTAAAATTTAATTTATGCATTTAGCAGACGCTTTTATCCAAAACGACTTACAATGTTACTAAGACTTTGAGAAAAGATGACCTCTAGATCGCCACTTTCCAAACTAGTTAACATTTAGTATTGCTGTGCTTATCGATTCACCTTGGAAGGATAAAAGGGTTCGACCCCGTTAGTCTTAGTAACAGAGTTGAACCATTTTATCATTCGAAAGTGGATCAATGAACAAAACAATATTTAATGCCAACTTGTTTGGAAAGTGATGATATAGAAGTCATGTTTTCTTGTAAAGTTATAGTAACAGAGTTGAATTATTTTATCTTTCCAAAATGAATCAATAAGCAAAACAATATTGAATTTCAACTAGTTTGGAAAGTGAAGATGTAGAGATCATCTTTTCTCATTGAGTCACAGTAACAGGGTTGAACCCATTCATCTTTCCAAAGTAAATTGATAAGCAAAACAATATTGAATGTCAACTAGTTTGGAAACTCAATATCCTTTCCTTTCTCTAGCCATCTACAGATCATCTCTTCTCACAGAGTCAAAGTAACAGGGTTGAACCCTTTTTTTTACTTTACAGGCAAATCAATAAGCAAAATGTTAATCACTCAGAAAGTTAATTTTCATGTAAAACAGCAACATCCCCATGCAGGAGGTGGTTATACTAGTGAGGGGAAGAAATCTGTAAAAAAAAAATTAATTCAGCTTAAAAACAAAAGCCATCTCCAGATTGACAGTGTTTTTTTTATCAGATTGTGCCTTAAAAACACTAACTTGAGACTGCACAAGCTCCACTCAGCAATGCTAGAAAGCTGATCTTATGAGAACCAGATACTAGAACAGATACTACCCAAGCTTCCCTTCTTGCTGTTTGGTTCCTCCAGCCTACAACCAATCATGCAGGCCCAAACCGGTGAGGTTAGAAACATTTCTATGGCAACAACTTGTAAATTACAAACAGGCGGGGATATTGTTGGTTGGATGGGTGTGGACATAGTGAAAGTGGTTAGGAGGGAAACACGTGCTTTTACCACAGGACTTTACCTTTAATATTCCAAAACATGAACACATGAGAGAACTACACCTTGCCAGCTTTAGGAACACAGAACAAAACAAAAAGATAAAATGGTTGATTATTATTCAAACGCCTTCCTTTCGCTTGCAAAGTTGCTTAAGAAAGTGGACATGTCAGCGGAATTAATCACTACAAGGACACTATAAACTTCTTGTGTGCTTTGGATTTGGTCCTCTTTGCTGACCTCTCAATTTAGATTAATTGGAAATTAAAGTTGGAGTCATGTCAAGTTAACCGTTTTATGCTCCTGAAGACTGATGAATCTCAACAACTACATTTAAAGCAGAGGAACATTGTAGCTTCGCTCCAAAACAAAGTGAGCTGCCTACCTAAACAGCAAAGGTACTTTCCAAAAGGCAGGTGGCTGGATTGCACTATTAAGAACCTTTAGCCAAAATATTAGGAAGAACCATATGTATCATTAGTGGAGAAGGTCCCAGAATGCATCACAATGAGTAAAAAAAAAACTAAGACGGTGTACGATGTACTTATTTCATTTGAAAAGTAAATATAAAGTTCTAATTAAAAAAACTGACTTGTTCACAAAGTTTGTTAGCTTAGCAACGTGCTGATGTACAACTATAGGAATCAATTGAGTTTAATTTTGTGTGGCACACCGAGTTGCGCCTATGTAGTGTTCTAAATCAGTCACCTATGAGGTTACATTTCAGATAAAATGCTGCCTTAGAAGGTAACGGTCTATGTAGGGAGTAGCAAGCAAGGAAGCTCACTAGGTTTTGGAAAGCAGTTAGCATAACCTTAGTAAAAGCTATAATTTCACAGGACGTAAACAATACAAAACAGTTCCCTTTAAACAGTGTCTATATTAGCAATCAAATGAAAATCTGAGAGTTGATGGATTGGGATGGATCACATAATAACCCTCCCCCATCACAACTGATGTGTGCAGAGCACTACTCAGACATCTAATCCCCCTCCATAAATCCTTGGGACACGCATGAACCACGCGCCAAGGCCAACGCCAGTGGCTGCTGCTAAAGTCTGAGTGGATGAAAGAAAAAAGGTCACATCTAATCCCAACATTTGTTACATCTGATAGAAGGAAGGATCAGGAACAGTGACATAACATGCATCTCACTTTCTCAACAGACTGTGAGCATTGAGATCGAAGTAGATCGTAATCTGTACCTTGCTGACATTCTGGTAAATGCCATGACAACTGTGGGGGAAAGAGAAAGTAAGACTTGAATAGTGAAACTTTGGCCTAGTAGATAGGTTTTAAGCTGGCAACCGGAAGGTGACTGGTTCAGTCCCCAAAGTGATCAAGACGCACCATTGTGCAAGGCACTTAACCCCAGGTTACACTTGGGGAAGCTTGTCCCTGAAAAGCATTTGGATAAAAGCGACTATTAAATGACTAGTTATCAAACCACTGAATTAACTCTTAACTTTAAGAGGCCGAGAGAATTTAGAAATATTCTTGGCGTTATCCAACAGGTTGATGTCAGCTTACGTTTATACACCGAAACTGAGCTCAATGACAAGGTATCAGGTTAAAGGTTTGTATTCATACTTATTGAATTGTGGATTAAAGGAAATGGTTATGATTTTACCAAAGCACTTTAATTATTTTAGAGTATGTAAAACCATTTAAACTGTTGTTTTCATGGTTTAGGGATTTTTCATGGCAACAAAGTTGTAAAACTGGATTTAACTTCATACAGAAAAGCTTAGTATGTGATTTTTTCACACTAATATCATATTGAAAATGCTCATAATCTTTAGGTCGTGTTTTATTGTCGAGTATTTTATTGTTTACAAATTGGCCCCTTTTACTTCCATTATAAGTTTCTCAGAGTAATGTACTTTTTTAAAATGAAGATGGAGGACTAGAGCAAATTAATTTTGTTGTAATCAGCATCACATTGCAAATTTACAGATCCCAGAATATTCTTTTAAGAAGAAATATCTTCATGGCCTGAACTACTGAGCTTTAGAGAGGCCCTGAGCCAGAAACATCCTGTGGTCCCAGGAGACACTCTCGGTCCACATTAAAATGTCAAGACAGGTGAGACAAAGACTAAAAAAGACAGGAGACACATGGCTAAAGATGCACGTGATGTATCCTATTGAGCTTCTGGTTAGAGTCGCTTTTATTTAAAATGAGCACAAACGGTTTTGCCTTACAGACATGGCATAAAACGAGCTGATGGCCTGATAAAGTGAGGGCAGAATGGGATGTTTTCTAGCTGTAGCTGAAGTTGAATGCTGTATCATTAAGTTTAAATTCCCATCCCATATTACAAACAAAGGAAGCGTCAGCACATCAGACAGCCCAAAATATCCAACAACGGGGCGTGAGTGTAAATTCCTCAGCTTTTTTAATTGGTGTAGCAACATACAGCACATTCTTCGGGAGGAACGTAACAAATCGAGCAGGAGTTTGACTCACCTTGAGCTTTTTGTTGAGTTTACAGCAGTATCTGTACAGCATAGCGAGGTTGAGGGGTCCAAAATCGGCATAAAAGCTATAAAAAATAAATAAATAGTCATAGTTAAATAGACAACATGGACGGAATGGCTCAGGCTAATGGGGCCATGGCCTGGGGCCTTTGACTGCCAGGGGCCTCGATCTGTGGCCCAAACACCTGGAATAATGCTAATGCAGGTGTTAAACTGATATAGAAAGACAAAAAAATCTTGTTCTCGTTTGGAATGTACTATGCATACGTTGTGTTCATTCTTGCAATTTCAAAAATAAGCAATACATTTGCATAATGGAACGTAGGGCTGCACGATTAATCAAATGCGATTGTCAAGTTCTGCAAAAAAAAAATCGATTTTATTGCGCGATTATGAAATCGAAGAAATCGTTCGCGATAATGACAGCTGTTTGCATAGCTTCTCAGTGAACTACGGCTCTGTCTAGTAAATGCTGCTCCATCGGAAAGCATGTGAAAATACCACATTTAATAACATATTTTTACTCCAAACTCACTTCATAACGTCAGTCGAGTGTTTGAAATAAACCCTTCTGTGAGATGTGGCTTCTTACACAGAATAAGGCACGCAACATATTTCATAGTATTTAAGCAGTGATAAAGGCATTGCATTATAAATATACTTTATTTTAATGAAAATTATAATAATAAGAACTCAGATAAACCGTATATTGCCATTTCGACTTATCGTGCAGCCCTAATGGAACGTACTCGTCATTCGAACATTGTATTATGCAATTATGATAAGAGTAGTCTTCTAAAAGACCATAAGCTATCGTTGGAAGTCAGCCTCAAACAGTGTTTTCTTTCAAAATATCTGTCAGAATGATGCGAAGAACATTAGTTCCATTTTTCTCTAATCTTCCCACACGCGGTAATTCAAAACAAATGATTGACAGGTCCATTATGGAACGCTGGAGATAAAAAATGCAACTTTTACTAAAGGAAGCGTTCGATTAAAGAGTTATGTAACAGACTTTAGAACAGTTTCCCGCCTGCTGGGGGTTTTGGCTCTGAAAGATGACTGAGGGAGGGAAAACTCACTTTTCGTACACAAACTCCTCATCCGTGCTGAAGTAATGCGTGTTTGCGGTGCTTTTCGGCTTACTCCGTAATGTTGCAAAATAGAGTCGATCTGGAAAAAAAGAAAAAATTACACATGGCTGATTAAACAAGCCGGTACAGTTATAAAACAACTATTAATACTCTTCAGAGATAAGATTTTATCATCGGATTATTGGCTTGGGTTTAATCATCTGCAACAGTGCACTTATCCCTTTGTAGCTTTAAATACACTAAAATATGAATGTGAATTATCACATTACTGGGACTTTAGTCAATAAGAGAAAATCAAGTACGTTACTTTATTTTGACAGATAAGATAGAAAAATGTTTTCCACAAATCTAATCCACTTATCTATGAATTCACATGGGTTTTTAAAAAAAATTCTATCACACAAAGGAGTGCCACCATTAGTATAAACTGCATTGTGACACTTAAAAAAAAGTTCAGTATACGAAGGTATATATTATAGCAGGAATAACAGGGTTGACAGTTCATTTATCCATCACTAGTCATGTGCTTGAGGTCATTAAACTACCAAGTGTTTATTAAAAATAAATGCTGATATTTCTGAAAATATCCCATTTTCAATAACCAACTGTTAAGAATAACAGGGTTGACCATTTAAGACCTTCTAAAAAGACAAAACATTTGTCCTCAAAGAGGTGATGACTTTATGACAATGTTTGCACATAATTTTATAAAGAGATTTTAATAAAAGACAGTCATCATGGTAACAGGGTTGATGCATTACCCGTGGACCCGTTATTATATACAAATAATACAAAACAAGTTATTATTATTATTTATTTTTTTCCATTTTTCATGCAAATGATAAATTAAATGTTTTTAAGAAAACAACAATAAATCTAACTAAAATTACATTTTAATAAATAACTTGCTTCAAGTTTAATAAGATGAGAAAAGATTCAATAACACACTGCAAACGTTGGTGCAGGTATCCGATGGCTGAAGCAAGTAACTTACGTCTCAGGCTGAGGTAACGTTAACACAATGAATCAAAGTTAGCCAAACAGAAGCTCCTCAGCAACGTCAACTCACCTTTAATAAACTCCGTAGCACCTATTAAATCATTATCGTCAGCCATTTTAAACAAAGATGTGAGTATCGCGGAGTGTTTTAAGTTGTCGAGAGTCATCGACGGAGCGCGAGTGAGGCGTAGCTATTTCTAAAAGAAGAACAAACTCAGGTTAACGTTACTGCTGGTTTAAAATCCGTTTCCTCTCAACGGATGCAACTTCTCTCTGAGCTGATGGCGCAAATATTCCGAGAAGTTCAAGAACAGAAAAGCTTAATGAAATGTGTAAACAAGGCACTTGAATCTTGTGGCATTCTTCCACGCGTAAAAGGTGAAAAAGCTGCAACTTCCCAAGCTGTTAAAACAACTCAAGGTGCGTCATATCGACATCCCAACTCCCGCGTCCCGCGTAAAAGTCCTTGAGTGATTGGTTTTCTCTCTCGCGTGCGCAGTCAAACCGCCATTCGTCGTATTATATATTCGTTTTCGCTTTAAACCGAGCAGATGCGAGTCGCGATCCTTTGCATGGTAACTCCGCCCTGGTCAGTGGTCATTAGGTGGAAATCTTTCCCTGGTCGCGGACAGTCAAGAAAGAGCTTAAAGGGACGTCACGTGGTCCGGGGATGTCCAATCAGCGGCACGGAAGGATGTTACTCGGGTTAACTGTCACTCGACCAATCAGGGGACGAGAAGTTGTTTTACTCTGAGAGAAACATCAACCTGCGAACCTCCATCAACCTGTTTGTTTTACTCAATGCCCTACTTTACTTTTTTCTGTATTTAGATACAGATAAATAGAATATTGCTATTATATAAAAAGGGAAATTATTATACTGAATATGAGGACAAATTGTTGTCTGTCTTTCTTTCCATCCATCCATCATCTATCTATCTATCTATCTATCTATCTATCTGTCTGTCTGTCTGTCTGTCTTCAGGCATGTCTTTGTTTTTATTGCACACAGTATCATCTGTGAAGCCAAACACGAGTCGTCAGACAGTCTGTAACACTGAGCTCAAACATCGCTGGCAGCAGACTGTTTATTGGGGCCATTCACAGCAGCAGCTGGAGAGATCATGTATGAGGCTGGTCACGCCGTGGTCACCGCAGCTTCTAAATACTTCAGCGTGAGCAGATGGACGTCATGAAGCAGATTAGTAATGTAGGTCCATTCATGACAGCTCAGACTGATCTTTCTGTATTGTTTTTAGGCAGCAAACAAAGCAAACCACGATGCTTTGGTGCATTGCTCATAGGATTTGAATAATCTGCAAATGAGTAAACAACATAGTGAACCTGCTGCCCCTTGGCTAGAAGAACTAGCTTGTGCTTCTTTTTGATATCATTACATTAGCAGAGCCTTACAGGAGGGTGGTGTTGGTTGCAACCAAAAAAGAAAAGAAATAAAATTGTGTTATGATTTATTCATCCTCATGTTGTTCCAAACATCCTTTCTTTCATTTGTGAAACACAAAAGAAGATATTTTGAAAGTCAGTGGGGTCCATTTATTTTGGTATTCACTGAACTTCATTGTATGGAGAAAAAGGTTCTTCAAAATATCTGTATATGTAATAATTGTATTTGTTTTGTTTTGAATTTCATAAAATTATAAAATAATTATTATTTAACAATTACAAAATCCAAACTTTAACAGTAATATCAAAATCCCACGAAATTGATAAAAATAAATATGTAAAATGAATACATTTTTAATAATCATAGTTTTTGTTTGTTTGATCAGAGATTTCATTATATACAGTTATTTTTGCCAGTGGCGTCTTGTATTTTTTAATAATACAATATTTTTAAATAATTATTTTAATTTCAATAATTTACAAATTATTATATTTGTTACAGTTAATTACTATTTATGTGTCAATTCAAATTAGTATTTTGTCAATAAAATGTCCTTTTTATAAATTATCAATTTTTTATTGAATATTTAACAATAACAAATAAATGAATGTATATGTAAGTAAATATATATAAAATTAGTTTATTTAAAAAAAAAAAAGTTTTCTATTTTTTGTTTAATCATCATCCAGACCATATGCAAAGATTTTCTTATTTTTTGCCAGTAGTTTCTTGTATTTTTAATAATTAATAGCATTTAAAATTAGTAACTATTTATTAATTTTACATATTTTTATTCATTAGAAAATCTAAATAGTAAATATTTTTCAAAGCAAATTAATTTATATAAATATATCAAATAAATTATTATTATTAATTATTATTATTAATAAGTAAATAAACTAAACTTTTTGGGTGGACTATCTCTCTCTCTCTGTATATATATATATATATATACACACACACACACACACACATATATATATATATATATGTGTGTGTGTGTGTGTGTGTATATATATATATATATATACACACACACACACACACACATATATATATATATATATGTGTGTGTGTGTGTGTGTGTATATATATATATATATATACACACACACACACACACACATATATATATATATATATGTGTGTGTGTGTGTGTGTGTATATATATATATATATATACACACACACACACACACACATATATATATATATATACTATTGGAGACATCAGTGCATCCTGTGCTATCATTTTCAGTCGAACTGTGCAGGACTACTGTCACATGCAACTTTCAAGTCATATAAACAACATTCAGTTTCAAGCAAAGTCCATCTTACCTCCTACTAAGGAGATCCAGACCTTGTGGACGGCTGTGGCTGACTGGCTCCATTCGCTATTCTCCTGGGATCTCCAGGATACAGCGTCTGACATGCCTTCATGGAGGTTTAGCAGAGCCGGCTTTGGTGGGACCCTCTGGAACGGACCCTAGACCAAAATGTGCGGTGGTCTGCGGGGACAGAGTGTGCCAGTGGAACAGAACGGGGAGGATCCGGTTCACTCGGCCCGCTCAGGTTTCCTCACATGCCGCTCGTGTTACAGTCCTGGCAAGGTGTGACTTTCAAGGTTCCTTGCGTTACTTTTCCGAACAGAGTGCACTATTGTGACGTTTCTTCCTCCGGATATGGTTCCAGGTTGTCATCGTGTCACATATAGTGTATCTATGCTTTTTAGAGCATGCTAGCTATTGTTTTGGTTCTGTACAGGCAGATGCTGCACTGACATCATGGAAAAGTAAGTTACAGGTTTCACGAGTGCTAGTTAAAATGAGTGTTTTCACTGTGTGTTTTGAGGTCAGCTATTGACACGGCTGACCAGAGGTGAGCGAGGTCATGCAGACGACTTAGTGTAAGTTGGGGGTTGAGAAATGTCATGTCCTTATACCATGATAACACAACAGAGTCTTTAAAAGCCCTCCAAAAAAGGTCACTGTTCACTGGTTTAAAAACAAACAAGCAAAAAAAAAAAACCTACTAATATATATATATATATATATATATATATATATATACACGTGGTCAGAATTGTTGGAACCCGAATTATTATTATTATTATTATTATTATTATATGAATGGGAATATATTTCAGATATATTTTACTAATAAGAATTTCTAGGGGTACCAATAATTGTGTCCAACGTGTATTTGAGAAAAACATTTATTTCATAAAAAGTTTTTCCCCCATTTTAAATTCTTATTCTCCAATGAAAGGTTAGATTTTTGTGAATTTTTTTAATAAAAGATCAAAATGATTAACAATGCAGATTAATTTTCACAGCCTTCTTTGATCATATTTACCAAGGGTGCCAATAATTCTGACCATGTGTGTATATATATAAAACAATTTTATTTAAATAAAATACATCAACTGAAAAAATAAATAAATAGATAAATACAAAATATTGCATTTTAGCTAGTTGGCAAGCCAACATTTCTCAATTTTATTTAGTTTAATAAAATAAATAGACACATTTAAATATATACTATACTAAAAACAGTAAAACATCAACAAATGTTTCTTCAAAAATCACTCACCTAAATAGATAGATAGCTAGAACATAGATTTAAATCTATAAAATGAATTATTTTGATGATCCCATTTTGTATATACAAAGCTTTTCTTGTACTATGTACTTCACTATATATATATATATATATATATATACACAGTATATATGTATGTATATATTACATTAAATTACAAAAATTTCCTCACAAACTTTGCTTAAATAGACCCTTTCTAACTTTGGACAAAAAGTATTTAATTTATATGTTATAACAAAAAATCTAATGTGCGTAGACTGAAACGCTCCCAATAATATACTCCAATGTTTGAAATAGATTTATCACCATGGAGTTTCATGCTTTGGCAAATCCAGTGTGCTTGTGTTATCCGTCCTGTCACCATATCTAATCTAATGTGGGGCGAAGTGCGTACGGTTATTAAAAACACTGTCAGAGTTTAATAGAAAAACAAAAGATGATGTAAGTTGTGGTCCATTGAACATTACAGGTGTATTATTGCCTAGCATTAATCTTTATGCTGCATATCAAAGTAGGTAACACAGAAATATGTTGTTATCTATGATGTCATATTTATGCACCAAACTGCAAAATCATAAAACTTGATGTACTTTATGTTCAGTCAGCTCTGACCATAGCACTGTTATCACAGCATGATTCATGTACAAACCCATATGCCAAGGCTGCAAGCCTTTTTACATAGCAGCCTTTCTAAGGCATTGCAAGGCAGATTTAGGTCAGTAACTTCTTGTGATTTTAAACAATTAAGAAACACTTAAATTATTTTTTTTTATTAATTTGTACATTATTTGTAACAAATAAAAAAAATCTAACTTTAATATTAATCTCAAAATATTAAAGTTAGATTCTAAAATATATAAACCGATTAAATAGATTGAATTATTATTATTATTAAATTATTTATTAATTTATTGTTCTAACAATAAAAAATATTTATATAACAAAAGTACATATATTTGTATACACACACACACACATACAATATAAAATTTTAATAATTACATTTTACATTACTATTAATTTTACTTTATTTTTACAATTTTAAAACAAATCCAAAGTTAAAAATGTATATCGAAATCCCACTTATAAAATTAACTAAATAAATAGATAATCTATTTAAAATTCATAAATTAATACATTTTTAATAAATTAATACATTTTAACTTAATTTTAATAATGCCAGTGTTTGGTTGATTAATTTTAATAATGCCCTGTGTAAATATATAGTGATTTTTTTGTAACTATAAACTGTAATTATTAATTTTACACTGTTTTTTTAACAATTCCAGTTTAAATTCAATTTAAATTCAAATCATCCAATTTATTAAAAATCCAAATTTTACAATTATTCTTAAAAACCCAATAATAAAGAATGTAAAAATAATATATAAAATACAATTATGTAAATATATCAAATTCATTGTTAACTGTTTGTTTGTTTGATTTTCCAGATCATAAGCAAAGTTTTTCTTATATACTAATTTGTATCAGCAGCATTAATCTTTATGCTGCATATCAAAGTAGGTAACACAGAAATATGTTGTTATCCAATAAAATGTTTTAACCAATAAAATCTAAATTTTAACTTTTTATCAATTAAAACAAAACAAGTAAATCTCAATTTTAAAATTATAATTAAAATACATGCATACATAAATGTATTCAT